AGCCCCACCCTCACACAGAGTGAGGCGCGATGATAGGATAAGACAGGCAAACACGGAGATAGTCCCGCCCTAAGGAACGGTGAACTGACTCTAAAGCCAATCAAAAGAACTGAACAGACTGAACGGGTCATTTGGGGGGTTGACCTTGTTCATTTCGTTCACCAAAAAGAACTTGTTCTTTTGATCCGTTCGTTCAAGACCGACACACCACTACACCCCACCCTCTCTTACTCACTCACTCACACATACACACACAGTGCGAGAATTTAAGATATATTGTTAAAGAGACATGGCCTGAGACATTACGTGAGGAAAGAGCCACCTTTGGGAAACACTGAAGGTAAAACATAAAAAATAGAAATGGTAAAAGGAAAGAGTAAAACCTGATGGACTAAAACAAGAAAATAATATTAAATGAACAGATGAGTAAGAGCTCTTTACCATATTAAAGGGGTAAAAGAAGTAAAAACCTTTAAGGCAGGAGTTAAGAAAATGACTAAGAACAGAGGTAATTAATAGTATGACATAAAATGAACAATAAGAACTTTGATTAAAATTAACATTTGCAACATTAGTAAAAAGCCTGGTTAAAAAAGTGAGTCTTGAGCCTCCTTTTAAAAACATTAACAGTCTCTGCAGCCCCGAAGCTCTCCTGCAGGTTGTTCCACAACCAGGGACCATAAAAACTGAAAGCCGCCTCCTCATGTGTTTTTGTATTAACTTTGGGTAAGGTTAAAAGGCCTGTGCTAGAGGACCTCAGGGTCCTCAAGGGTTGTCAGATAAATAAGAGAGGCCAAGACCATTAATACATCTAAAAACTAATAAAAGAACCTTAAAATCAATCCTAAAACAGACCGGGAGCCAATGCAGCGATGCTAAAACTGGCGTTATATGCACTCACCCTCTGGCCCTTGTCAGCACTCTTGCAGCTGAATTTTGTAATAACTGAAGGGTATGCAAGTTATTCTTGGGGAGGCCAGAGAGGAAGGCATAACAATAATCCAAATGAGAGGAGATAAAAGCATGCATCGGCACCTTCGTGCTGGCCTGAGAGAGAAACGGCAGACTCTGGCTATATTCTTAAGGTGGTAAAAACCACCTTTGCTATGTGTTTGATGTGTGGAATAAAACTGAGCTCAGAGTCGAAAATCACACCCAGGTTTTTTACAGATGTTGATACTTTAAAATCATGTAGTTTTGGTAAAAGTGTCTCTCTCAGGCCATCAGGACCAATAACTAAAACCTCTGTTTTGTCCTGGTTGAGCTGCAGGAAGTTGGCTGCCATCAAGGACTTAATGTCTAAAATGCAATTTAAAAGGGCATCAATTGGCCCGCTGTCATCAGGAGACACGGCCATGTACAGTTGCATATCATCAGCATAGCTGTGAGAGCTGATGCCATGTCTCCAATGATGTCCCCCAGGGGAAGCATGTAAAGATTAAAAAGAGTTGGACCTAAAATTGACCCCTGGGGAACCCCACACATAATTTTATGGGTTCCTGAACATGTATCCATACTTACAAAGAAGTGTCCATCAGTGAGAAAAGAGGTGAACCAATTAAAAACAGGTGCTTCATTTTTTTTAATAAAATGCAATGGTCTACTGCATCAAATGCGGTGGTTAGATCCAGCTGGACCAAGACTGTGAGTTTGTGATTATCTAGATTGCACCTGATGTCATTTAAAATTTAAGAGGGCTGTCTCAGTACTGTGGTCCCTCCTAAAACCTGATTGGCACTTCTCTAAAATGCTCTTTGTATTAAAAAAGTCCTTTTCTTGTTGAAGAACAAGTTTTTCCAAGATTTTAGATCAAAATGGTCAGTTGGATACAGGTCGGTAATTGTTAAAAATCACACAGCCATTAATGTGTACACCCCTGGCAACAAAAGTTAGTACAGTACTAAGTGAAAATGTCCAATTCAAGCCCAATTAGCTATTTTCCCTCCCCAGTGTCATGTCACTTATAAGTGTTACCAGGTCTCAGGTGTGAATGAGGAGAAGTTGTGTTAAATTTGGTGTTAATGGTCCTACACCCTCTCATACTGGTCACTGGAAGTTGAACATGGCACCTCATGGCAAAGAACTCTATGGCTGCGTCCGAATTGCCAAATATATTCGAAGTAGTAGTCGAAGTAGAATGTAGTAGTAGTAGTAGTAGCATGTCCGAATTGGCCACCGGCGCAAGTAGCATGCTACTTCAGATACTACTTCAGATACTAGACACGCCCACATTGTAGTATGGTTGCTGCTGCCTATTTAGATGCGTCACGAACGCCGGCTGGCCACAGCAGCGCGCACCATGGCGGAGCAGCAGCAGCAGCAGCAGGCAGGACCACAGCAGTACAGATGAAAGTTTTATGTAACTTCACACACTGTCCTAAAAAATGTGCGGTTGTATCTCTTTGTCATGTCATGGTGTCATATTTGCCCAAGTAATCATTTTATGAGCAAATATGTGGCGACATCATGGAGGTAAAGCTCACTTATTCCATCATTAAACTGCACAGCTGCAGTAATCAGGCAGATCTCATTGAACAAACGATCACCACGTGAGTGAATGAAGGCTAAAAGTAATGGAAAAGCTACTTTGTGCAAATGATGGATGCTGCTGTATTATATTCCTGCACTGCTTTAGAAATTCACAATTACCATTCAAAGAGTCTAAAACTGTGAAACATGACTTGGAGGGGACAGAGAGCAGACCCAAACATTCATCAGCTTTCTGTCTTCTACCACTTTTAGCCAAGGTTTGTTCATTCCAGTAGCATGTGTATTTCTCAGGGACGGACGAGCAGACGGAGTATTTGATCAGGTGGCGGCTCAGCCATGACCACCTGTTCACCGGGCGCAGAAACAGGGCCAGAAAGGCATTTGAGTAAGTCAAGCCATTCATATGTTTCATGATTCTTCATACAATACGTATGTCTAATTGTTACCTCACAATACACTGTGTTTGGCCTTCAGGAGGTTCTTGCAGGACAGCCCCAGCCTCCCGCCGCACATCACGGCTGAGAGTGCAAAAAAAAAAATGGGACAACCTGAAAGACAAATATCGAGTATGTTGGGCCAACATCTGCCATCAACAGTCAATCCTCCTGTTAATTATGAAGGTTAATCTTGATACTCTCATGTCCCACAGAGACTGAAGGCTCCCAAGACAGGCATCAGCACCAAGGGTGGTGAGGATACAGCAGCATCCTGGCCATGGTTCGAGCTGATGGATGAGGCTTTAGGGGGCTTTAGGCTTTAGGGGAGCGGCCCAACATCACGCCACCATGCCTCATCGCATCAGCTGGCCAGGATGCTGGTGTATCCTCATCACCCAAGACCAAAACTAGATTATAACTCTTTTGAAAGTCTCGTTCTCAGTCTCCCGCATCCAGCCTCAAAGTCCATGAGACCACTGGTATTTGCTATAGTTTATCGCCCTCCGAGCCCATACTCTGAGTCTTTGTCAGAGTTCTCAGAGTTCCTATCCGAATTAGTCCTTCTCGCAGACAAAGTCATCGTCGTCGGTGACTTTAATATTCACATAGATGTGGAAAATGATAGCCTAAGCATTTCTTTTCTGTCCTTGCTAGATTCAATTGGGTTTACACAGTGTGTACATAGACCTACGCACTGCTTTAACCACACTCTCGATCTCGTCCTGGCTTATGGCCTCGAAGCTGAAGCCCGAGGGTGAGAGAGAGATCACTGTCTAGTAACTTTTGAATTTGTGCTTTCAGGTTACTCTCCTCATAACAAAGCCGTGCTAACTAGAAGGTTGTCTGAAAATGCTGTTACTAAGTTCAAGGAGGTAATTCCGTCTGCTCTAAATTCTGTGGTTGAGAAGAACTTCACTAATAGCTCATATTTAAACATCAGTCCCTTGCAACTCGACCAGTTCGTTGATGATACCTCAGGCACACTGCGATCAATTCTAGACTCAGTTGCTCCTCTTCGACAGAAAACTCTTACACGCGAGAGGCTAGCCCCGTGGTATAATGCTGAAACCCGTGAGCTGAAACAGTTATTAAGAAAATGTGAAAGGATTTGGCGCTCCTCCAAAACAGCTGAAGCTCGTTTTCTCTGGCAGGAATGTCTCGATAAATATAAGAAAGCCCTACGATGTGCTCGGACAACCTACTACTCGTCTCTTATTGAGGAAAATAAGAATAACCCCAGATATCTCTTCAGCACTGTAGCCAGGCTGACGGACTGTCAGAGCACCACTGAACCATATATCCCTTTAGCCCTTAGCAGCGACGACTTCCTGAGCTTCTTCAATGATAAAATCGTAAAAATAAGAGGTAAAATTAGTAACCTATTGACTTCATCAGGTGTCTCTCTCTCAGATAACCCTAAAAATGTTGAGGAGCCCCTAAGGCCTCTGGTGCACCTTAGTAACTTTGCACCTATTGACCTTCCTGAGTTAAAGTCAGTGGTGCGAGCAGCCAAACCATCGACGTGTCTCTTAGACCCAATTCCATCTAAATTGCTGAAGGAAACTCTTCCTTTGATTAGTACGTCCCTGCTCAAATTGATTAACACGTCTTTATTAACAGGATATGTTCCCCAGTCTTTCAAGACTGCATTGATTAAGCCTCTCCTTAAAAAACCTACTCTGGACTCAAGCTCCCTAGCTAACTATAGACCAATATCCAACCTTCCTTTTATTTCTAAAATCCTAGAGAAAGTTGTTGCGAATCAACTCTGTGATTTTCTCCATAACAACGGTTTATTGGAGGATTTCCAGTCTGGGGTTTAGAACCCATCACAGCACAGAGACTGCTCTGCTAAAGGTGTCAAATGACCTACTCATGGCCTCGGACAATGGTTTTCTCTCTGTTCTAGTCCTGTTAGATCTTAGTGCTGCATTTGACACAATTGACCACTCCATCCTGCTTCAGAGACTGGAACAATCTATAGGCATAGCAGGATCAGCTCTCTCCTGGTTTAAATCGTACCTAACAGATCGATCCCAGTTTGTCCATGTTAATAATGAATCCTCTGCACACACCAAGGTCCGCTACGGAGTGCCGCAAGGGTCAGTGCTCGGACCGATCCTCTTCACCCTGTACATGATTCCGCTGGGTAAAATTATGAGGAAGTACTCGATTAATTTCCACTGTTATGCAGATGACACCCAGCTATACCTATCCATAAAGCCAGAGGAAGCAGGCCAGGTTGCCAGGTTAGAAACCTGCCTCAAAGATATAAAATCCTGGATGACCAATAACTTTCTAATGCTCAACTCAGACAAAACTGAAGTTCTGGTCCTCGGTCCTAAACACCTTAGAGAGGCATTCTCTAGTAATTTAGCTACATTTGATGGTATCAGCCTGGCATCCAGCCCCACTGTGCGAAATCTAGGAGTTTTATTTGATCAGGATTTATCTTTTAGCTCCCACATTCAACAAATTTCCAGGACAGCCTTTTTCCACCTGCGCAATATCTCAAAAATTAGACGCATATTGTCTCAGAGCGATGCAGAAAAACTAGTCCATGCCTTTGTTACCTCTAGGCTGGATTACTGTAATTCTCTCCTATCAGGCTGCTCTAGTAAGTCATTAAGGACTCTTCAGCTGGTCCAAAATGCAGCAGCTCAGGTATTGACTAGAACTAGAAGAAGGGAGCACATCTCTCCTGTTTTAGCCTCTCTTCACTGGCTCCCTATTAAATATAGAATTGAGTTTAAAATCCTCCTTGTGACATATAAAGCGCTTAATGGCCAGGCTCCATCATATCTCGACGAGCTAGTTATACCGTACTTTCCATCTAGACCGTTACGCTCACAGTCTGCAGGTCTGCTCGTTGTACCAAATGTCTCTAAAAGTAGTATTGGAGGAAGAGCTTTCAGCTACCAGGCACCTCTCCTCTGGAATCATTTACCGCTCGAGGTTCGGGGGGCAGACACACTCTCAACTTTGAAGAGTAGACTTAAAACGTTCCTCTTTGATAAAGCCTATAGTCAGGGCTGATTTGAACCAGCTCTTAGTTATGCTGCTATAGGCCTAGACTGCCGGGGCTATCTGGCACACTGAGCTAGAGTCTGTCTCTATCTCCTCTTTAGATCTTTATGTCCCATATAAGTCACTGACCAGTTTTCTGTCTCTCTGAGTGTCTCTGAGTCTTTTAGCTGCCACTGGACTGATGCTGCAAACGGTCTGCTGCGGAACTGCCTGACCCCAGCTGCATCCACCCTGGGCCCTGAGCTCCTTCTTCTCTTGGATTCTTCTGGACTGTTGCTGTTACTGTTACTGCAGACATGAACATCAGCCTCACTGTCATTATTGACATTAATAATACAAAATAGAACTGACTACGATTAAGCCTGCTAACTGTAATCACACTCAATTAATTCAACATTGTCCATTATCAATCATATCCTAACCCTGTAAACTGAACTTCTTTTTGTTTCACCATTACATGAGCTGTTGTTGTTGTTGCTGTTGTTTCTGCTGCCCCCTGTCTCTCTCTCACCCTCGTTCCCTTCTCTCTCTCCCTCCCCCTCCCTCTCCGTACTCATTCTCTCTCGCCTTTCCCCTATCTTGTTCTCTCTCTCCCTCCCCCTGTCCTCTCCCCCTCTCCCCTCTTCTCTCTACATTCCTCCCCAACCCAGCAGCGGCATGGTGGCTGTCTAGCATGAGGCTGGTCCTGCCCAAGGTTTCTGCCTGTTAAAAGGAAGTTTTTCCTTGCCACTGTAACTCATGTTAGTTGAGATGGGCCAAAACCCATCTTAGGTTGGTTCTTGATCATCAAACAATGAGCGTGGTCCAGACCTGCTCTTGTTCCTTGAAAAGCGTCTTGAGATGACGACTGTTGTGAATTGGTGCTATATCAATAAAATTTGATTGATTGATTGATTGATCACCCTCAGCCACGGTGACGCCTGCAGAAACACCCTGCAGCTCCCCATCACCCTCCAGCTCCACCACACAGCCCTCCAGCTCCACCACACTGCCCTCCACGCCCACAGAGGCTTCCACCTCCACCGCTGCTCCACGCTCCACCTCACCACCCGCCAACCCTCGGAGCCAGGGCAGCTCTCCCCCAAGGAGGGGGAGGAGGAGGAGGAGGCCAGCGTTGGAAGACATGTGGCAGGAGATGGAGGCCAGATTGGAGGAGCAGGAGAGGGAGGCTGAAGCCAGGGAGGAGAGGAGGTGGAGGGAGTGGATGGACAGAGAGGAGAGAAGAGACAAGGAAAGGGAGGGAAGGGAAGAAAGAAGAGAGAGGGAAAGGGAGCAAAGGAAAGAAAGAAGAGAGAGGGAAAGACAGGAGAGGGAGGACAGAAGGGACAGGGAGGCTCGGGAGAGGGAGAAGCGCTTTTTAAACATTTTGGACCTGCTGGACAGGAGGCAGTACGAGTTTTGTGTTTGAGGATTTCAGTTTGTGTATGTTTAATGTAGGCGATTGCTTTATGTTCGAGTAGGGGGCCTAACATTTTAAATGTTATGGTTTGTTGTTCTTAAATGCCTTTGTTTGTGTTATGGCACTATGACTGTGTGTGTCTGCGAAGCACTGTCGAACCTTGTTGGGAAATGGCTACAGGTTCTTGAGTGCATCTCCACTTGGAGTTTTCCTGAAGACGATTCGCCTCTCATCCAAGAAGCTTCTTCAGTTCTAAATGCTGGTGGGGACAGAAGAGTAGTTAACCCCTGTGAGTCATAATAACTAAAGAAAGGAGTTTGAAGCCTACTGGCTCCAAGCACTGGGAGGGTCGTCAACATGTGTTGGTGTGTTATTAGTGACTCAGGTGAGTCAACAATCAGTGAAACTAGTCAGGGTGATATATGCTGTTAGGAAACGTGCCACACACAGCATCATTCTATGGCAAAACTTCTCTGGAATAAAATGGTTTGGTCCAAGCAATGTGATGTATCAAGTGTATCTCTGTGTTATAAAGGTTGGTGGAGGTGATTAGCAGATCTGACCTAAGCAGATGGACTTCTCTCAGTGTATTTCATGTTTCGGGTCATCAAGAACCACACCAGTGTCAGGAGCATTTTTCCCCAAAAAATATTTAATCATACAAAACAGAAATGAATCATAGAGAACCGAAACGTAACATAAGTAATTGCCCTATATCAGGCCACACATTTAAAGGAAACAAATATACCAAAAGAAAGTGTCAACAGCACCGTGCCCAGCATTCTGCAGTTTTTGGATGACATAGTTAACCTGCACTCCAACCTTCGCCTCTAACATCACTCTTTTGCTGCTCTCACTGCTGCCATTGACAACAAAGTGGACCAGAGACTGGCCAAAGGACAGAGAGGTAGCAGCAACAACAAAACAAAACAACAATCAACAATAATCGTGGTCCTGGAGGACAGCAACGGCAACCTCTGGGACGGACACTGCTACAGCCAGTCGGTCCCGCAGGTTTTCCCCTGACCCCGCATCAGAACAGGGAGGCGGTCCATCTTCCTCAGGGGGAGGCTCGGCCTCGAAGAGGTCACTGTTGTCCATGCAGATGTTGTGGAGGATGGCACAACAGGTGACCACCTCCGATGCAAATGCTGGCTTCAGCTCAAGGGCCCTGAGGAAGATGGACTGCCAACTAGCCTTCACCATTCCGAAGGCCCGCTCGACAATGTTCCGTGCCTTGCCGTGGATGGTGTTGAACCGGGCCTGCACGGGGTTGGCCACAGGTTCCCTGTAAGGCGTCAGGAGGCAGATGGGGGCACCCAAACAATGGTAGCCTCCATCCCCCAGGATGCACCAGCCCTCTGGGCTGTTCCGCAGGACACAGGCATCGTGGACGGAGCCAGGGAAGCCAACAAACAAGTCAATAAACCTCCCCTGGTGGTCATAGATGGCCTGGAGCTGGATGGAATGGAACAGCTTAGGGTTTAAAAAGTCCAGCTGATGTGCTGCAGGTGGCTTGATGTGGACATGGCAGCCATCAATTGCCCTGACCACTGTCCGCAGAGCTGGACTTCCCCGGAGGCAGCTGAAGCCAGCAGTGATGTCCTCCAGCTGGTCAGGGTCGGGGAGGCGGATGGTGTGGCCCAGGATGCCCACGACAGCCCTGTGCGCAATATCGTGCACAGTGGACTACGGAATGTCGCAGGCTGCAGCCACCACCCTGTAGGACGCTGCATGGGCCAGCCAAAAAAACAAACAGCAGCACCTCTATGTCCTTTGGCCAGCCTCGGGTCACACTGAGGTCGATGGCAGCAGTAAGGGCAGCAAGCGAGCAATGAGAGAGGCGAAGGTTGGGGCGCAGGTCAATGGTGTCATCCAAAAACTGACGAATGATGGGCACAGTGCTGTTGAGCTGAGTGTATGGCCTGCGTGGGCCATGCTGAAAAATCAAACAAACCACATAATGTCATGTGCATAACAGAGTTGCTTTTGCGGTGTCTGGACGAACACCAGAAAAGACTAGTAAAGAAATACATGACAGAGCTTCTAGTTCAAGCACTTCATTTCATAGCTTACCTGTGGCAATGACTCCAGGAATCTCCACATAGAAAATGCAGGGCGGTTGCAGGCATGCTGGCTTTTCTCTGATGATGTGCCACCTCCGTGATGACGCTACTATATTTCCACTCATTGTTAATGAGTAACAGGTGCCTTCTAGTGATGATGCCTAATAAATCATGGGTGCGCACTGATCATTGTACAGTACTCGCTGCAGTACTACAGCCAGGCCAGCAGATGGGGGGCTTCTGTTACCACTGTCTGCACGGGCGCAGTACCTATTCTCAGCCTGCGGGGGTCTTCTTTCCCCACCACTCGTCTAGTGTGTCTGAATTGGGCCAACGTGTTTAGTATGTAGGAGTAGGATCTAGCAGTAGTATGTAGCAGTAGTATGTAGTATGCGAGCGGGCAATTCGGACACAGCCTATGAGGATCTAAAAAAAGTATTGTTGCTCTTCATAAAGATGGCCGAGGCTATATGAAGATTACAAACACCCTGAAACTGAGCTGCAGCACAATGGCTAAGACTACACAGATGTTAAACAGGACAGGGTTCACTCAGAACATGTGCTCAGCATCATATCCAGAGGTTATCTTTGGAAAATAAACATTTGACTGCTGCCAGCATTGCTGCAGGGGTTAAAGGGGTGAGGGGTTAGCCTGTCAGTGTTAAGACCATATGGCACACACTGCATCAAACTGTCATGGCTGTCATCCCAGGAGGATGCCTCTTTTAAAGATGATTCACAAGAAAGCCTGTAGTTTGCTAAAGACAAGCAAACCAAGTACATGGATTACTGAGACCATGTCCTGTGGTCTGATGAGACAAAGATAAACTTTTTTTGGTTCAGGTGGCATCCAGGGTGTGTGGCACAGTGGCGATTGCTCAAAGACTGCAAGGGAAGCTCAGCTTCCCTTAAAATGTCACCCCCCCAAAAAAAGAAAAAGTGGTAAAATACATACTGCTGTGTGTACATTTCATTAACTAAATACGCGCTAGAAAGCCTTCATCTTTTGTTCAGAATCAGCTTCTTATCACAGTGTGATAAGAAGCTGATTCTGCACAACTTCGTTCTCATTCATCCTCGCAGCGCCTCAGTGCTTTAAACAGCCGGACGCTCGGCTTCTGCTGACTTCAATGTGGAAGCTCAAAGTGGGTTGTTCCAGCAGCGAAACTAGTTGTCATTGGATAAATGCTGGGCTTTGTCCCGCCCATCGGACGCTGAGCTTCTCTGGAGTTCTATGGCGAGAGGGCGGTTCCGACTTTCTCCCGGACTCCGAGCTTCTGCATCCATGATTGGATGAGCTGTCTGAGGCGAAATCCTTTTTTGATTGACAGCTAAACAAGCGAATCAGCGATCTTGAAGAATAAAACATCTACCAAAGCATTTTCCAAGTTATTCATTCCGTTATTCTTAACTGCTCCAGAGACTTTACCGATCCTCAGCAACTTTTGTCTTTGTTAAAAACGACTGCCGTTGTGTTTGGCGACTCTATTCTGTTACATACAAATAAACAAACACAATTATGATATAGGCCAGAAAAATGAGCTTCCCCTCCTTGAAAGACCAGCAGCCGCCACTGGTGTGGCGGCAACCAGGTTGGGTGTACTATGACAAGTGTGTCCTTCCTACAGTCAAGCAAAGGGGTGGGAATGTCACAGTCTGGGGCTGCGTGAGTGCTGCCCACACTGGGGGGCTGCAGTCCATTAAGGGAACCATGAATCCCAATGTGTACTGTGACATACTGAAGCAGAACACAATCCCCTCCCTTCGGAAATTGGGCTGCAGGGCAGTATTCCAACATGATAACGACCCCAAACACACCTCAATGATGACCACACAGTGATGGACTGGCCACGCACGTCTCCAAACCTAAACCCTATTCAGCATCTGTGGGGCATCCTCAAATGGAAAGTGAAGGAGCGTAAGGTCTCTGACATCCACTCAGCTCTGTGATGTCATCATGGAGGAGTAGAAGAGCATTCCAGTGGCAACCTGTGAAGATCTGGTGAACTCCATGCCCAAGAGGGTTAAGGCAGTGCTGGAATATAATGGTGGCTACAGAAAATATTGACATTTTGGGCCCGATTTGGCAATTTTTACTCAGTGGTGTACTCACTCTGGTTGTCAGGGGTGTACACACTAATGGCTGTGTGTTGAGTTATTTTGAGGGAACAATAAATTTACACTGTTACACAAGCTGTAAGCAGAATACTGTACGTGGTATCAAAGTGTCATCTCTTTAGAGTTATCCCATGTCTATGTCCAGAGAGAAAAACCCTTTCTTACATGGGGTCAAATCAAGCCCTGCATGACTTCCCAATCATCATTAGAGGTTCATGTCATAAGCTGTGACGATACACCAAGGCTGTCGTTGCACAGCTGCAGGGAGGGAGCAGGTGAAAATGAACAGCTGAATGGTGGGACAGAAAAGTGAAACTCACGAAAGCGTCAAAGCCAAAACGCAAAAACACACGTACTTCACAGCTGAAAACACACTTACCTTTATGTGACAGGTCTGTCAGGACCCTCACCTGATCCAGATCTTCAGCAACCATGACGACAAAATTCTGAACCAAAGTTCAACAAGAAGTGTCTCCACGTGACACACCTGCAAGGTGCAGTGGATTTCCCTCGCGCATGCATAATGGTATAAATAACATCAGGAGAAGAGCCGGTAAACCAGGTCTGGATCCAGCAGCACCCTCACATCTGGATTAAGCAGAATGTTCTGGGGCGTGTGAAGACTTCTTCAGACCCATTTTCTGATGGATGAAAACTTTGATTCTGTTTAATCAGTGAGTGACACTTAGGCTGATCTCACCGGTTTATGCATTAGTCCACAGTAGGGGAGACTGGGGTTGGTTTTCAAGCGCTTATTACAACCAAACAACAGGCTACGACACCATGGAGACCCACAAATCAAGCATTTGACCTGATGTGATCCATTTAACTTAGCAGATAGAAACCACTTAAGAGAAATACTGAGCTTTTTACTGGGTCAGTGTTTTTTTTTTTTTTTTTTCATTCCTTAAAGGATGATTTTGTGTATGTAAAGTCCCATGTTGACAATGTAACAGTTAATATTTATCAATAACTTCATAAATTAATTTGAGTAATTAATTTTAGCCTTGGTTTGAACATGCATTCAGCTAGCTTAGTTCTTTGTGCTAGCTTGCAAATGGAACAGATTTAAGCACTTGGTACAACCTTGATACCAATCCGGGGCGGTTCTAGGAATGCACATATGAGAGGGCAGTCAGAAATGTTAGGGGGGCTTTTTTTTATCTTTTAACACATTTTTAACACTGTTAGTGTTTCCTTCAAGGCATTGGTTGTTAGCTGTGTGTCCAGCTCTCAACTTGGAGAAGTGGATTGCACTCTGTCAGGCCTCTACCCTAAGACCTGTCAAACTTGGGTGTCCCACCTGAAAACTATAGCTCCTGCTGGTATAGCTCTTAGGGTCACCGAGGCACACAAACCCCCTGACTACAATAAGGTGGTAATCCCTCAGGGGGTTTAACTGAAAAATAAAAATGAAAAGTAAAAAATATATATCTTTCATCCAGATTTTAACAACCAACAACATAACATTTATCTTAACTGGATGGCCTAATTCTCAAATAGGGGAGACCAGGGCTTGTTGTCACACAGGTAAGTTTAACATTGCAATTATCTTTGCCACCAGAGGGCACAACTAAAAAGTGGAAAACTAGTTTTCTTCCTTTACATGGTCAGAGGTCGTGTCCTGTATGAGAAGAGAAGCGCGCATTGTGAGCTGAGATGAGCGCCAATTAACCATTTCGCACAACCCAAAGTAAAAAAAAAAAAACTATATATTTTAAAATAAGCTTCTTCCAGATAAAAATCCTAGCAGTGAAACATTTGGACTTGTTAGAGGAGAGATTAAGACATCCTGTCATACCTCAGTCATTGTTCTATTTCAAGATGACTTTAATCTAGAGCTAGAATTAGCATACATGGTAGTTTGGAGCAACATGTCTCAGTCATTTTGGGGTTAGTTGTCACATGTTTAAAAGGGATTCAAACTAAAATAGAGGGTCTGCTTATCAACAGTTGTCATACAGAAACTTTGACTTGATTTTTACAGAGAACAGAGTGGTTTAAAGGAGAGGAGAAAGCGAGAAACCATAGTCAGGAATTTCAAAAGAAAAACAGAGCATGGCAGTGCAGTGCCTAACGTGATGCTGAGGGCAGTCAGGCAGGTGACCCTAGCTAATAAATCAATCTGGAGTACAATAAAGGACTTTAATGTCAACTACAATACCTTAGCTCTGTACTGCAAAACATTCACCCCAGCCGAAATACAGTCAGACAGATCTTCAAACTCCAGAGCATGTTGATAATATCTTATGTTAACGTTTGTTTAATAATTTTTTCTTTCTCAATAATAAACATTTTCTGTGCCTGACTTTGATGTTCACTTTCATGTAAAAAAATGAGAACAACAATAATTTTGTCCTGGTTTTATTAGCTGCAAAATCCACTGTGACATCTTACCCCATGTAGTGAGACAACTTACCCAATGGTGGGGCAACATGTCACATGTTCAAACACTATTTGATTGCTTATAACTCTGCACTGACACAAGATATGAAATTACATAAATACAAAATATATACCTGAGACTTTGGTCTTTCATCTGGTACACATTTTATTTATATATGATGTATTGATTGCAAGAAATATACAAGAGTGTAAAAAGTGTGACAACAAGCCCCGGTCTCCCCTACATTTCAACCTAAAGGGAAGACTGGTCACTATAATCAATATTTACAAAACTGAACGGTAGTCATATGAAAAGAAATCACCAAGCATCGCAAGTTCTCAGACTACTTTGTAAAAAAAAAAAAGATAAAGGGCAGAACATTTTATAATTTTGTACTTTATTAGCTAATAACTCAAAAATATCCCTTCTCTCCACCTCACAATTCTCTCTCTCCACTCTCCAGTCTCTCCACTATACACTACAAACCAACACCAAGCATTTTCTCAAAGTTATAAAACTAATTTGTCGAACACTACAGGTTTAGAGCAGATATAGGCTATAACACACATAACATTTTTCTTTTTTTTCTTCTCTACTGGGTTTTATTTATTTATTAGCAACTTGATAACTAAAATCTCCTACTTTCTCTCCACCTTATCATTTTCTCTCCATTCCACTCCTCTTTCTCTCTACTCTGCAGTTCCACTATTCTACTCTGTGCTTGTGACTTGAGAAAAACACCCACTGAGTAAAAAACAGCAGACTATTTCCCAGTTGACTGCACAAATTTGTATGGATGTTATATTAACTTTCGTTTTAGTTGTTGCTCATTATTAGTTAACTCACTGGTCGCTACGACGAGTTTGGTGGAGTTTTGCTGCTCAAAGTCTCCCGCTCTGTCTTGAAACCTGACACTACAGTCTCAGGCTGCGTCACTGCATCTTGGCTCATTTGCATACTGAACAGTGATTGGATTTTTACGGATGGGGAGGGCGGGACGGGCGAGGCGATCTCTGACTGCAGGGTTCGTGAAGACACGCTGCACGGAGATGAAGCAATGAGAGATGAGCGGGGGCTGATAATTAACTTTTGCTTTTACGGCGGATTTTCCACTATAGGAGGTTTTCACTTGACGTCACATCCGTGTTATGCGGCACGCGCGCAATACAGATGGAGGGCAGGAAGTGGGTTGCTGCCATAGAGACCAGCAACATGCCGATGTTTTGCTCCGTTTACGGCTGCTCGAATCGATCAAACAGGGGAAAAAAAGAGCTTTTATCGTGTGCCCAAAGTAGTGTTACACAAAGGGGAAAGATATAAGAAGCTGACTGATCTGAGGTCGTAGTTAGAGGATGGGGGGGGGGGGGGGGCTCGAGGGGCTCGAGGACTGGATTTGAGAACCACTGGTCTAATCTAAACAAGACCAGCAGCACAGATGACATACAGACCAGCAGACAAAGTCAGCACCCAGCTGCTACGGTCTGGAGGAGCTGCATCGGATAATGCCCGTATGTGTAGTTACCACTTTGTCAAAGGTAATGACTCATTTTTAGGAGGGGGGTGTTGAGCAGCCAGACGCGCCGGGAGGGGGGCAGACGGGGAAAAAGGTCCCCCCCCCCCCATCCTCCAACTACGACCTCAGATCAGACGAGACGACCCGCTGAATTTAAGCATATTACTAAGCAGAGGATAAGAAAATAACCAGGATTCCCTCAGTAGCGGCGAGTGAAGAGGGAAGAGCCCAGTGCCGAATACCGTGGAAGGTGTGAGGCCGGTAGCGGCCCCTGTCGCGCCAGGGTATGGTCTTCTCAGAGTCGGGTTGTTTAGGAATGCAGCCCAAAGCGGGTGGTAAACTCCATCTAAGGCTAAATACCGGCATGCATCTAAACCAGTGTATCTCCTCCATTGCAGTCGGTTGCTTCCTGCCCTCCATTTGGTCCTCACGCAAAGTCAGGATCACATGACTGAAAACCTCCTATTAAAAATTTGATTTGAGGGGGCAGGCCATTTGTTTGAGCGTAGAGCCGGCCCCGATACTAATCTCTAAACAGATACCTAGATCAGCTTAAAGGAATATTCCGGCGTAAATTGAAGTTATAAACACACCGTAACACTGAGTTAGACACCCCCTCGAGAGATGAATGTTGCAGATTACTTGCTTCTATAGTTATACCAACCTCAGCAACAAACACACGATAGCAATACACAGCAATCGACGTCCCCAGGTGCACACCTGAACCAAAAAGCCACTCTGTAATAATAATAATAATCATAATCATAATAAAAATAATAATGCATTTTATTAGTAGTGTTCTTTACTTTAAGAGACCTCAAAGGGCTATAGCCACAAATAATGCTCAGAACAGCACCTAACTTCATCAACAGTACATATGGGGTCCCAGCCATATTACTAGCCACCAAACATCTTTTTAGCTTTGCATAATTTCTTTGGCAAAGAGACTAAACAAAACATACCCGCTCTCTTCCAGCAGCCGCTGTTTGGTGGGGAGCCCTGATGTGCCGATCACAGAGTGCAGTATGTTCTGTTCATGAAGTTAGGTGCTGTTCTGAGCATTATTTGTGGCTATAGAGTGGCCTTTTGGTTGAGGTGTGTGTAGAGATGTAGACCGCTGTGTATTGCTATCCTGTAGTCGTTACCAAAGTTGGGGGGGTATTCCACAAGCTGGCTTAGCTCAAAGCCTGGCTTATTTCGGTTAGCTTGGCTAATTTTAGTGAGAGTTCGGTTCCACAAACGAGGCTTGGGGCTAGCGTGGCTCGGTAACCATAGTAACTCAGCCAGCACGACAAGCCTGGTTCCAGGCAGGCTTACGACCAAGCTAACCTTAGCTGCGTCTCAGAGAAGTTCCGACAGGCTTCCAGAAGATGCTTTGTGAACCGCATGTCACACAGTAATTTCATCTTTATCTGTAATAAATGATACTCTTGTTCGGAAAAATAAATTGAGAGCTTTTTGAAACAACATAGGAATACGTGAATCCGGACATGCCCAACACTACGCCAACCTCAAATAGAAAGAGAAGTTGAGTAACTGAGTGGGTAAAGAGAAGTGCCGGTAAAATGTGTTTTTCACTGCTCTGTGGGTTCAATCCCATCAGCGGTAATTATTTGGAAATATCTGCTTTTCTTTCTTTTATTCTGTGACTCTCAATGTACTGTCAACACATAACAGAATAAAGGCACAAATGATCTCATCCAAAACACTGAAGGCGACAACAGCAACAATTTCCCATTAAAAAAACCCTCTATTTCACCAGTGGTCCATTCTGATTATGATGGTGATAATGTAAAGGTGATGGCAAATGACGACATGACTACTCTTTGTAAAGCTCATTTGTGTCTTCTCCCTTATTTAAATGAAGGGCGCTGTGCCACTATCATCCCTAATAAAAAGGAAAAGAAAAAAAAAAGGGCCTACTTTGGTTTTAGGTCTTACCTGTAGCTGCTATACTAATCCATTATGGATATCTATTTGCCAAAACAAGAACATAATTTATGCCTACAGTGCAGTGGCGGGCACTGGCGGACCGGGCAGCCGCCCAGGGTGGCATTTAGACAGCCAAGCAGGCCGCCCCCCATTTGTGTCATGACTCATGGGGGGCGGCATGAGCACTTCCAAAAAAGAAAGAAAAAAGATAATAAATCTGCACCGCAAAGCGGTTTTGTATTAACTCTTGTCAAATTGGCGCCCCCTGCTGCTGTAGGTGGCCCTGCTTGCTGCAAAGGTGCTGCACAGAGGCTGACAGACTGTATGAGTGAGCTGCACATACATGAGATGAAAATTTAAAGTGTTTACAGTACATACGCAGAAGTGAGGAATAAAATTAGACAGCCAAGCAGGCTGACTGCATCGAGAAATGCGTCGGTTGTAAAATATTTGTCGGCAATAACTTACGAATTTAAATGGTCTGCGATCTCACAATGGCAACAGTGTTGCCTTTCATTTGAAATTTTCCCTCGTACTCTTCGTACAACTCCATGAGGAGTGTTTGCTCCACCGCTGAGAAAGACTCCACTCTGCCCTTTTTTTCCCATGATCTCGTCATTTCGACAATTGATACGTCAGGGCTTTTTATGTACCACGGAGGCGCGCATAGCCGCGGCTTGGATTAGCCTGGCTTGAATAAGCGTTGATGAAAAACAGCTGAGCCTCGTTAGTGGAACGAGTCGCAGCTAAGATTAAAGTGGCCGCTTATTCAAGCCACGCATGTTGAAACTGAAAGAAAAGTGTTGTTTTAAGAGAAAATTGGTCTTTTGAAATGTGATGCCAGCATCTGTGAAGGCTCCATTAATGCTGAGCAATAGCTACAGGTTTAGGAGCAACATCTACCTCCAACCAGACAAAGACTTTTTCAGGGAAGACCTTTATATTTCAGCAAGACAATGACTAACCACATTCTGACTACAGGGATTACAACAGCATGGCTCTGTAGGAAAAGAGTCCTGCTGAGAAACTGGTCTGCCTGCAGTCCTGACTTGTCCCCCATCTAAAACATTTGGTGCATCATGACACCAAAAACAGGACAAAGGAGATCCTGAACTGTTGGGCAGCTGGAATCCTCTATCAGGTAAGAATGGGACAATATTTCACTTTTAGACTCCAGAACCTGGTCTGCTGGGCTTACTAAGGTTTTCTGTGTTGGTAGACATAGAGGCGATGCAGTGCAATAGTAAACATGCCCCCTACCTAATTTTTGAAAAGTGCTTGTGGTATCAAATTCAAAATAAGTAGAGACAGTACTTCATAAAATGAATTCTTTCACTTTCACTGGATAGGTTATATTTCTCTATCTACAATAAAATTTGGACTATAAATGATTAGCAAAGCATCAGATTTTGATTTAAGCAATGTTTGACAGTGTCCCAACTACTTCAATCATTGAGTTTAAAAAGATAAGGTTGTCTAAGAAAGGCTGAAAACCTGAGAGAGAGGTTCTGGTGTGTAAATGTTAAATAAAAGGTGCAGAGATCAGACAGGTTCGTACAGCATATAATTTAATTTACTTATGGACACAAACTCACAAAACCATTATTGTTGCACAACAAAGAATTAGTTTTTGCAGATGAAAGGGAATGTTTGATATACTCCAATGAATTTGCTTCTGCAACCCAAAACAAAGAGAAAAACACAAATCATGTAAACAGCAACTTTCCAGAGAAGAGAGAAGAATGAGGGGACAAAGGAGGAGAAATCTTCTGCTTTTTCCATATTTGAGAGTTTAGCACAGATGCCTACCTCAGCTTATGATGACATGAGAGAGACAGAAGCATGGAAATAACACAGCAGTTTCCTATTATCAAACCAAACATGAGTGGAGGACCAAATAAGTTGAACAGGTTCAGTCTGTTTAATCTGTGAAGAAACAAATATTCATTCAACAGTTTTAGTGACAATCAAGGTTAACCACTATTCCTGACCAACCTACTCTAGTTCATTCTTCCCTACAGTATTCTTTCAGAGGAATTTGGATATTACATGACATATATTTAAAAATAGGAGAAGGGGGGTCCAGCAGTAACACACCTCAATAATAAATAAAGACTTATCTGTAATTTCAAGGATATGTTCACATTTTTGCTATCAAGGGTCGACATTTCAAACACAGATACTTTCCATACACAACTTCTGGACACAGGTACGCTACAGTACATCTAAAGAGGGGGAGATTATTGCCCTGTTCTCATTCAGGGAGGGTGAGGGTGGAGGAGGGGTCAGGTTGATTCATGAGAGGAAGATGAGGTAAAAAGAGGATGGAGGAAGTGGGGATGAGCTGGGGATGTAGAATGAGTTGGAAGGAAAAGTGGGTGGTGGGTGAAGAGAGGAGTGGGGTCAAGACCAGAGCATCTCTCAGGGCGCCTCAGTGACGGGCAGCGGACTCCCTGGGGTAGAACTCTGCCAGGGTGCTCTGAGGGATCCTCTTCAGCATCTCCTTGGGGAAGATTCGCAGCAGCTGCCAGCCAATGTCCAAGGTCTCGTACACTGTCCTGTTGTCATAGGGGCCTGAGGGGGCAACAGGGGGAAATGGACTTAGTATTTTGTTCACATGTGGTCAGACTTTATATCAGAACAGCTTCTGACATAACAAAGACCTCTGACTGATGGGTTACAGTGTGTGTACTACAGGTTTCAGTGGTTAAATATCAACAGTGCATGATGGCATTTATCTGTAGAGACAGAGAACATGACTGAGACCAGCCGTCAATCACAACCTCAGTCAGCAGGGATGAAAGATGGAGAGACATGGTGAGACACACTGATTCTTCTCTGGACGCCTGTTTGAATTTGCCAACCATCTTTCCACTGAGAAGAGATTCTGCTATGACACCTTGATATGATAACTTCAATATTGACAGACCTTTTTTTTTTAACTTTCAGTACATATCTGTTCCAAATACCGATTATGGATCCCATAAACTACCAATAATTGGTGTTGGTATTGATCAAGCTCAAATTTTCTTCATGGGGTATTTCAAAAGCTCCTAAAAGACCTGTGATTTTAAAGATTTAACATGTTTGAGACAGATCCTTTAAGAGTAACTTCTGCTGACTTGTATTGTAAAACAGACATATAATGTTACTATGTTGGATGTCCACTCTACACCTCGATAAGCTTTCTTTTAAATGAGATAAACGAATGTTGTCTCCAGGCAGCTCCAAAACAGCTTCTTCAGGGACATACCAAGGCGCCAGAAAACAGCAGGAGCTTTGAGGTTATTTCATGAGTACAAAGCTGTGTGAAAAGTGACACCCTCAAGCTGTGTCTAATGTTCTACCTGTGGAAAAGCTGCCAGAGCAAAGTGTTTCAGGCAGAGGTTTTCATGAGCACCAGTATCAGGGTGTTTTTTTTTTAATCATGCAAAGTTACCTTGTAGGTGTCCCAGACTCACAGGATGTAACACACTAAGGGGAAACCCTCCTTTGTTTTGGTTGATCAGGCTCAACAGCACCTTAACTGCATAGAAACTGCTTTACTTTTTATATTTCTAAGGGATACACCTTAAACCTGCAAACACCCAAATGCAGGAAAAGGTGCACTGTTGAAACAAGAAGTTCCTGCCTACAGTCTAGCAGCAGAGGAAATCAGAAACCTTGAAATGGTTTTGGATCAGAACAAAAACATCCATGTTTGTAAGTAGTTTGGTTGGTGTATTTATTTTAAGTTCTGATCAGACGGATAAATCATACACTACTTTATCTGAATAACTACAGCTTGGCTGAATAAAACCTGACAGAGTTAATCCTGTCAATTATCAGGTCAAGTTTTAAATCCTGAAAGCCCAGTCATCTTCGGAAACACTCAGTGGTGTCTTCTTCAACATCTGATCAGATTGTGAACACATTTCTCATAGATTTCTTCCCTGACGTCAAACATGTTGCTGCTGGCAGCTTTACTTTCACGGGAGGTTAACTGGAACTGCAGTTGGAATTAAGTTGTTGAAAAGTATAGATAAAAACCATGTTCTCTCTCTGTAATGGCTGTGGATCCATCATTGTTGAAAAGAAGAGAAACAGCAGCCCTGTATGTTCAGTTTTTACCTGGAAATTTAACAACCTCAGCACAGAGTTTCGTTTCGTCTCTCTTGGAAAGGAGAAGAAGAAAAAAAGGACTAACACCCCTCAGCAACAAAGCAGAACCTAAACAGATCAATATTTTCCAGGGACGAGGATAAACTCAGAAATCCAATGAATGCCACTTCAAACTGCATTTTCAGTGGAATGTACTGTAAAAGATGAGCAAGAGAACTCAATAACCTGAAGCACTGTTTCTACTGTTTGTTAATTTCATGGTTATTTTAGACCATCATTTTAAATGTATTCTGATCTTACTTGTATAAGACCAGGAGGACTCCTGAGCTTTGACCTTAAACAGAAACTGAAGAAGAAAGTCAACATCCTGAAAGTGGAGTTAATGCTGGAGAGAGCAGAGACTGAACTGTAGAGAAGGGGCCTCAGCACACCGACAAAGTGTCACGCTCTGGATAGATTCTGTTGTCCAGTTAACAACTGTTAAACAGCCATTTGGTTTGTGTGTGTGTGTGTGTGTGTGTGTGCGCGCGCGCGTGCAAGCATGCGTGTCTGTGTGCGTTCCTAAAAAGATGACCTGATCTGATTTCATTCTTGATAGATAGATTGAAGGACGAATCATAAAGACAAGGAGTGAACGAATTGATTCAGTTTGGTTAAATGTCATCTGAAAGTCAAATCCCAGGTATTCTTATATACCTTAACATCACTGATTAAAAGCACAGGACACATTTTTCTAAATATCATGCTTGTGTTTGTTACAAAAGACCAGGCCTCTGCACAACCTGAACTCATAACGCAGAAACGCAAGTCTTCATCACACTCATGCTTAGGTGTCTCTCTCTGTCTCTCACTTTTGGACTTAATAAAACCCTGCTGGCTCTTGAAATTTGAAATGAAGAATCAATTAATTCCCCACAAAACAAAAATGAACGAATCAAAGTGCATGATGGAGCTCACTGTGTCATGTCAGACTGGGAACCATGTGGTCATTAGGGCTGGGTATTTCCTCTAGCCTCACCATATGATATCATGATACAGATGCCACCATACAATCAGGGTTCACATCTGTCAATGACTGTAGTGAGGAAGAGCAAAATTTTGTTTTGACCTGGATGAATGGGAACCTAAACAGAGATATTTATAGTGAAACTGAGACTCAAAGGGATGAGTACTCCGGAGACGCTGAGGGGACAGTAAGCTTGTTTTAAGGTCATTAAAGTGCTTGATAATTTGGCATTTGCGCCCAAAGGTAAGTACGACACTTAGATGAATTTTAAAGGTGTCAGAATAAATATTCTCAGATGATTTTCTTACCCTGAGCAATAAAGTTCTTCTCAAACTTTTGAAGAAACTCAAGGTAGAGTAGATCATCAGAGGTGAGAGCCTCCTCTCCCACCACAGCCTTCATAGCCTGGACATCCTTACCGATGGCATAGCAGGCATACTGGAGACAAGAACCAACATAAGTAATAATACAGGGTCACAACAACAGTCTGCCATTTAGCCTCTTTCCTCCCTGAGGAAAGTCATTCAAGTCATTCTTACCAGCTGGTTAGAAACATCAGCATGATCCTTCCTGGTCATGCCCTCCCCGATGGCGGACTTCATCAGACGGGAGAGCGAGGGCAGCACATTGATCGGTGGGTATATCTGAAAGTCGAGGATTAAAATCATTCACATCAAGGATACTTGAAATGCACATGTGATGCTTCTTTTTGAGATGCATTTAAATCTAATTTTGGAGAATGTTATGATCACCCCAGAAGTTAGGCACAGTTAGCTTGTCATGTCACTTCAAATGGTAGGAATAAATAACAGCAAAGCAATAATCTCAACAACAGCATCTATTAGTGACTACGACAAATAGGCCACAGAAGAAACAAAGGTAGAGGTTTTTACCTGCAGGATGCATCCCAATCTCCTAACAGTAGTGCTTTCAAGTGTTTGGCTATGTTGTTAGCAGTGGGAAACATCAGCTCACATGTCAGCTAGATACTAAATTTGAGGTCCTGAGGCAGTTTCACATGAGAGATCTGCTCATGTGAAACAATGTCTCTGTGAACACCAACATGCATCTCTTCTACTGAGGACTGCAGTTAACTGACAGTCTGTCAGCTCATTTTAGGCATTTGCTGTGTGATTTTAAAGCCTTGAGACTCAAACCTCTTCAAGAGGGGGGGACCAAAAGCTGAATTCTATTTTGGAACTAATTTCAGCTAATGTGCGGAAACTGTCGCTAATTTTTTCAATATACAGAGAAAACCTTAGGCTTTTGCTCAATGACCATCTAACAGAATATTCAACATTTGATGAGTGTGGTTTCAAAAATGGCTGATGAATACCTGTCTGTTGTGCAGCTGTCTGTCCACATAGACCTGGCCCTCTGTGATGTACCCGGTCAAATCAGGGATGGGATGGGTGATGTCTGTAGAGGCATAAAACCGTATTTGAAGTCTTTCAAATCCAACAAATAAGATTGTTGGAGTAGACTTAAACACGCATAACACCTTAGATTCATTCAAAGTGAGGAACAGGTACATATATGCGTCTTTTTAATCCCCTCCTGATTTTAAGGCTTTTGACAGTAAAAGATAGATTTCAGTTAGTTTCCTGTTTTTAATGAACTTTACACTAAATCAAGAGCATAGAGCCCTTTGGAACACCAGCAGTGTTTAGTAAAAGCCGACACAATCACTTCCTATGATGCTGGAATGGGGGACTCCTGTGCAGCTAGACACAAGTAGGCTCTTCAGATATGTTGCTATGGTAACTGCAGGCATCAAAAATGTCTCCATGGTACATTTGAGATGCTGTTCAGAAAACAATTGTAAGTTTCAGGAGACAGAATAGCGAACTGTGCATGAAAACACAGATATCAAAGAAATACAGCAGTAGTCAGAACCTACAGACACATTTGAATATGTGAAATACTAATACTGTGATATCAATAAAGGGGCTTTGTGTTTCAGCACAGGAAGACTGCTCCACTGCTGCTCTCACCATCATTGGGCATGGTGAGGATTGGGATCTGGGTGATGGAGCCGTTTCTGCCCTCCACTCGCCCAGCACGCTCATAGATGGTGGCAAGATCAGTATACATGTAACCAGGGAAGCCTCGACGACCAGGCACCTCCTCTCGGGCAGCAGAGACCTAGAGGTGAGAAGTGGGTGAGGAGTGGGTGGATGACAAGAGAACAGGGAGATGAGCGGGCTTAAGGACAAAAGGTTTCTAACATGCATTTACATCTCATTTTCATCACATTTGAGAAATCCTTATATCTGCTTCTATCAATGTGGAGAATAATCACCTCAAGATGTAACTACACCAATCATTAAAATGGAAAATAGACTTGTCATTACACAGAGCCTTTCCAGTCCTTCTAACTGCTCAAAATACTTTTACTCCACTCGTCATATTCACCCATTCAAACAACATACACACACTGAGAGCAATAAATGATACTGTAGGAAACTATCAGTGTTATCTGATCCCATTCATTCCCATCCACACACTATAAGCTGTCACCAGTAGCAATCTGGGAGTCATTTAACATGTGGAGAGATTATATTCCACTTCAAGATAGCCACTCGAATCAGGGGTGGGACTCACCAGGAAACTTATGACATGACACAACACATAAGGGTGTCCCGATACAACTTTTTTTTACTTCTGATCAAATACTGATATTGAAGCCTTCAGTACTGGCCAATACCAATATTGATCCGATAGATATTGATCCGATAATAGCAAAAAATTGTGCATGACAAGTTCTTCATTCCGCTGCAATGTCTTTTTCTGACTAACAAAAAATACTGCATCAGCCGACATCACTCCTACTCCCTGCTGCTTTGTTAGTACCATAGACTGTATATACTATGAACAACTTGGTTCTGCCCTCCACCAATATATGGATTTTAAGACGGAAAGCTCTCAGAATTGCCGCAATTTTTCTCCACTTCCTGAAACCAACATTGCGCAGTCAGTGTTGTACGAACTCCACCATTTGCACAGTAGCATTGTGCGCTTCCGGCGGGAGAGTCGCGTATCCCACGGGTGAGCTACACAATCTTTGTATGCCCAAAGGCTGTATCAAGTGTCAATCATAGAAAACGTGAACAAACCAGTCTTACAGTAACTACATGTCAACATCACAACCAAGGGGAGAAAAATCTATATTCTGTGTAATTAATTAGTTTGTCCACAGCTCCATAAGCTTTGCTGGAGGAGGCGGGATTCATGACCTATACTGCAGCCCCTCACTCAGATCAAAAATAGGCTTCTACAACAGGAACAAATCCTGCTTCTCCCTCAGTGCTCAAAACTGCTTGAGAAAATAGTCGAACAGTTTAAGAACAATGTTTCTCAAAGTACAACTGCAAGGAATTTGGGGATTTCAACATCTACGGTCCATAATATCATCAAAAGGTTCAGAGAATCTGGAGAAATCATGCTGCCACTTCGGCATGGAATACTCTCCAGACTGACCTGAAATTGACAGAATTAATTTCACTGGAAACGTTTTGTTGAATCTTACAAGACAGACCTTAGGAGACCACTGAACGGTGCCTGTGGTTTCAATTATGTTTCTGGAGGTCATTTTCTTCTTCTTTATTATTATTTACTATTGTGATGTGTGCTGCCGACCTCTTGGCCAGGTCACTCTTGTAAATGAGATCTTGATCTCAACGGGCTCTTACCTGGTTAAATAAAGGTTATATAAAATAAAACAAATACAATAAAATTTTGTATCCTATCAGTGCAGACTTAACCAGACTCTTATTTTGGGATGAAAAATCATCATCTCAATAAGAAAAGGCTGAAAAGACAATAAACCTACTGTAAGTGACAATCATTTGTTTCCAACAATCAATGTCTGTGGGGCTGATTTTCTTCCACAGGTTTCACCTTTTCTTTCATCTTCGTCAAAATGTCAGGCATTTAACAAACTTTTGTAATCACTGTTCACATCTGATCTAGTTAAGACTTATTTCACTTAAAAGAAAATAAAGTAGCACAAGTTTAAGCCCAGAAGGCCGGTGTTTCAGAGAAGACCTTAAGGGTTGAGAGTTTTTTTTAATTTTTTTATTTTACCAAGAGCCACATTATTTCTATCATGACAAGGACAAATAAATCTTACAGGGATTTTTTTAACAGTTATCTCTATTGTAAACAAAAAGCATTTAGTGTAGGGAGGTTAAAGTGTGAGAACTCCTTCAGAATATCCCAGGAGCAGCAACAGCAGCTGCTTCAATGTTGTCTCTCCTCTCTAGCCCTCTAAAAAAATGACCAAAGCAAATCCTTGTACCTGAAGTCAAGTGACATCTGAGCAAGAAGCAAAAGGAAAATGCTTCCTATTCATCTGTGGGTGCACAGGTTGATGGGCAAGCTAAGCACTTGTGAACTGTGAATTCAACGCAAAACTCAGCCTTCACACACGTGAACAGAGAAGCAGAAATTAAATGTTGATGTCCTCTTGACTCTTGTTCTCACACACCCATCAAGCCGCCTGAGTCTTAGCTGGCTATTGTTGCAGTGTGCACATGCCAAGGTTATGGACGCTTCACACAACAAGGAAAACGAATATGGACATGCACCATTTAATCGCTGCATTGTGCTGCCAGCAAACTGAAACATCAAACTGAACAACACAAAAAAGATGATTACAAACACACAACAGAGATCCACGAGAGCCTGACTCCTCACCACAGGGAGAAAAGAGGGCAGGGATTAGAGGCAGGAGGGAGACCATTATTTCCATCAAGAGTGAAGGACATACTATCTTCTCTGTCAGCCTGGAGCACAAGACTCCTTAGAGGCTATCACCACTGTGCTAATACTTCACAGTGGTTTGTTATTTTGACACTGCTGTATGGTTTAGAGCTGCTAGGGTTTCCATTTAGGCCTTAGTGTGAACCATACTCCAAACAGGATAATACAGAGGATGCAGGAGGACCTGGTTTTGATAGAGGCTCTCCTGACCCGTAAAACGATGAGGAGGAGAGCAGCTTCTATGTAGATATAAAACACTCATCCTAGTGCTGGGTGGTATACCGTCAGTGTTGTGCTTGACAGGGTCCATTTTTGAAGAACTGCAATAACGCAGTGTATTAGACATTGGCACCCAAATACGCACCACTATGCATAATGCCACTCTCTCTATGCTCTGAGCACCACACAGGCAGATTATGGTGGTTTAGCAGCCTCCCTTTTCAAGTGCATGCCCACCTTACTCATGATTACAATGGTTGCTAAGTAACGATAAACATTATTTGTACTGTATTTCATTTATTAGTGAGAACGTCATTGCCGCACAACCAATTGTGAGAAAATATTTGCAAAATGAATAATTTGTCTCATTAAATCTATTACAAGATTGCATGGCTGAAAATGCATGGCTGGGAAAAATAGTGCACAAAAGGTGCTGCAACATACACTGTGTGCACAATTATTAGGCAAGTGAGTATTTTGATCATATCATCATTTTTATGCATATTTTCCAACTCCAAGCTGTATAAACTTGAATGCTTATTGGATATAAGCATATCAGGTAATGTGTATTAGTGTAATGAGGGAGGCTGGGGCCTAAGGAGATCAAAACCCTATATCAAGGTGTGCATAATTATTAGGCAGCTTCTTTTCCTCAGGTAGAATGGGCCAAAAAAGAGATTTAAATGACTCTGAAAAGTCAAAAATTGTAAAAAGTCTTTCAGAGAGATGCAGCACTCTTGAAATTGCTTAGATATTTGGGTGTGATCACAGAACCAGCAAACATTTTGATGCAAATAGTCAACAGGGTCGCAAGAAATGTGTTGAGACAAAAGACGCAAATTTACTGCCAAAGATTTGAGAAGACTCAAACGTAAAGGTACCAGGAACCGCTTATCCTCCGGTGCTGTCATATTCCAGAACTGCAACCTACCTGGAGTGCCCAGAAGTACAAGGTGTTCAGTGCTCAGAGACATGGCCAAAGTAAGGAAGGCTGAAATCTGACCACCACTGAACAAGACACACAAGTCGAAATGTCAAGACTGGGCCAAGAAATATCTGAAGAGAGATTTTTCAAAGGTTTTATGGACTGATGGGATGAGAGTGACTCTTGACGGACCAGATGGATGGACCCGTGGCTGGATCAGTAATGGGCACAGAGCTCCACTTCGAATCAGACACCAGCAAGATGGAGGCGGGGTACTGGTATGGGCTGGTATTATTAAAGATGAGCTAGCTGGACCTTTTCGAGTTGAAGATGGACTTAAAATCAACTCCCAAATCCAATGCCAGTTTTGAGAAGACACTTTCTTCAAGCAGTGGTACAGGCAAAAGTCTGCATCTTTCAAGAAAACCATGATTTTAATGCAGGAAAATGCTCCATTGCATGCAACAAAGTACTCCACCATGTGGCTCGCCAGTAAAGGCCTTAAAAATGAAAGAATAATGACATGGCCTCCTTCTTCACCTGACCCAAACCCTGTTGAGAACTTGTGGGCCCTTCTTAAATGAGAAATTTACAGTGAAGGAAGACAGTACACCTCTCTGAACAGTGTCTGGAACAGTGTCTGGAAGGCTTTGGTTACTGCAACACAAAAAGTTGATCGTCAACAGATCAAGAAACTGAAAGACTCCATGAATGAAAGGCTTATGACTGTTATTGAAAAGAAGGGTGGCTATATTGGTCACTGATTTTTTTTTTTTTTTAATTTCAACAATTTTTATTTGTAAATTGAGTTGTTTGTTTATCATTCTCACTTTAACAAGTGAAAATAAACAAGTGAGATGGAAAATTTTTCATTTTTAATTTAGTTGCATAATAATTCTGCACACTAATGGCTGCCCCCAATAATTCTGCACACATAGATATTCTCCTAAGGAAGCCAAAATCTCACTTTTACTCCCTTAAATATTAAGTTTGAAGTTTATTAACATTTTGGATTGACCGAGAGCACTGCAGTTGTTCAAAAATAAAATTTATCCTCAAAAACACAACTTGCCTATTGTGGGCGCGGTTGCTGCTTCGCAGGCAACAGTGTTTGTTTATATCATTGAGTTAATATAGAGCTAGATAAGTTTAACAGCTTGGAGAGACTCAGGTGTTGTATTTTGCGATCTGCCTTTTTTTTTTGCAAAATATCTGCAAGACTAAATAAAAGGGCAACACTGATGCTTTAAATACTGATGCAGCGTTAACTGTGATGAGTCACGTGACATACAATATTGGAAGAAGTCTCTCCAGGGGAATTTTTGACTTTCAGTGCAAATAGAGCTTTTCTAAGCAGGCTTTGAAGGAAATATGCCTCAATATTACCCTCTGAAGCTCTTTAGAAGGGAATTCTTTAAACAAAAACTTCATGAAACAGTTTAAAACATCACAAACACAGTAACTCAAATACAGACCAGAATCTAGTCATCTGTACATAACAGCAGTAAATAACACTCATGTATATATCTTCTTTTGTAACTATAAGTGTTTTTATCCTTGAATTTCTCTTTTTGTATCTGTATGCTGCTGTTATTTGGAATTTTCCCCTGTGGGACTAATAAAGGGATATCTTATCTTATCTGTGATCTTTTTTAACAAACAGTATAACAGAGACAGTGCCGCACAGTCATGGTAAGAGTGGAAGGGCTCTCTACTTCAAACTATCAGATAACTCTTTCTCCACACCATGACTGATATTATTTTCTCCATCACATATACGCTGGAGGTCTGTACCATTACATCTCGAATCAGCCAGTCATAATGAGAATAATCTGAATCATCTTAAACAATCTTATGGTATATTGGCCTACACTTGTTATGGTAGCACTAACTTGTCATTGTCATTGAAGAGACTAACACTGTTTGACCTCAGTGCCCTTTATTTGATTTTCCAATATGACCAAAACAATGACTCAGCCTTTGGAAGTGAGATGAGTTTTTACTGCTTCAACACTGAACTATTTCTGTAGGACTGAGAAAGGAGTGGTCAGGTCTGAGCAGCGTGACCTGGAGTTAGAGACATACCTCTCTCAGAGCCTCTGCGTAGGAGCTCATGTCGGTTAGGATGACCAGGACGTGCTTCTCACACTGATAGGCAAGGTACTCTGCTGAGGTCAGCGCCAGACGAGGGGTGATGATGCGCTCAATGCTGGTTAGTTACAGACAGAGAAGTTATCCCCATGACACATAGTGAACATCTTAGTCTAAGATCTATTCCGATTACAGATCAGACATTCTAAAATTAAACATGAAACTTTTTACTGAAAACACATCTCCTGTTAACAGTCCCCAAGTTAAGCGACCAGCTTACAACATCTTTGCTTTCTTTACCGAGATCTTTACTGAATGGATCTTACGTGGGGTCATTGGCCAGGTTCAGGAAAAGGCAGACATTGTCCATGGAGCCATTCTCCTCAAAGTCAGACTTGAAGAAACGAGCTGTTTCCATGTTGACCTGAGAGACAGACAACACAAAGACAGTTTACAACAATAACCTGAGGAGGTCTGAACTGGTCACAGAGTGAAATGCCTTAACTCAGTCACAAAGATGCAAAGCTTTAACTGTATGAACTTTATGTTTTTAAAAATGTTTCAATCCTCCCCCCAACACTCTTCCTCTCGACTGCTGTAACAACCAGATTCAGATGTGCACTGAGAGAGAAGTGAAAGATGGAAGGATTACCATTTAGCAAGTGAAGCAAGTGTGTGTGTGTGTGTGTGTGTGTGTGTGTGTGTGTGTGTGTGTGTGTGTGTGTGTGTGTGTCCGTGTTTGCCTGGGGTCAACCCATTACAATTGGGGTATTACAGCAGACAGGAGGAGCAGCTGAGGAGGAGAGAACTTGATACTGCATGGCTGACAGCTCTGAAGGGGCCTGTTGAATTAGTAACCTGTCTACATGGCCCAGGGATATGCTCAGAGGTGCAGAAGTAACAAGAGGGACTTAAAGGTTAAATCACCTCACACCTGGTGAATAAAAGACAGAAAGTAGTGAAGGAGAGAGCGGACAGGGTGTCACATCAGGGTTAAGAGGGGGATTAGAGTCACAGATGGGGGTGAGTGGGAGGGAGGCTGAACATGTGTCCGCTAAATGCTGCAATTTGTCTACTCACTCCCATGGCTGCAAAAACAATGGCAAAGTTCTCTGCGCTGTAGTCCATCACATCCTTGGACTTCTGCACCAGGCCGGCCTGTCGACAGATCTGGGCGGCAATCTGGGAGAAAAAAATACAATAAGAACAGAAAAAATTCAAAAGGATGAAGGGGGGAGCACAGATGAGGTTTTATGAATGTTACAAAATCAGTCTCATGAGGAATGGCGTTGCAAATAGAAATGAAACACACATGTATCTCAGAGGGAGCAGATTTGAGGTTTGTGCTTTTAAAAAATGTAATCCTTAATTAAACATAGTCAACTTCTGGGTTGATGTTCAGCAAATTTCAGTGTTCTCCCAACCAGTATCTGAAATGGAACAGGCTCTCTAGATAAGTCCAATATCATCTTGAAATTTCAATAAGGCAGATAGAGACACGCTGTGATTCAGTGTCAATGGAGTATTTCTACAAAATAGTCATGTGTGGTTCAGAGCAGTTTGGTACAACTTGGTAAACCCTGATCCTGCTTTTGTTCCCAAAGCCAGCAGGACCCTGATTTGGTGAGCATTACCATACAACTCCATCATCGGGCTGTTCAGGTATCTGATTTTTTTTCTTTACTTGCTTCAGATCTTTGCACGTGTGGTCAGTTGCTGCTCAGGTGTCTCACTGTAGCCCGTCTTTGTTAAACAGCTTCATGACACTGTCCAAATCCGATTATCCCAATCAAGGTCTGCACCCCAAGGTTACCTATGGCACAGTGCTCTGCTCTGACAGTATGTGCAATAAAACACAAAAACAGCCTTGAGCCTCATATACTAACAGGGTGCATTTTGTGTTAGCCCATTATCAGCTCCGCTGCACAGAAAGGGATGACTCTCTCAAAGAATGGATTGCACCATGTCGAGTTCCACACTTAAGGATCCACTATGTGGCCTAACAGAAGGGTGCCAAAAAGTAGGACAGTGGCACCTTAACCAACTTTTTGTAGTGGAGACACGAATAATAGAGCAGCTTACCATACTGAAGCAAACCCAACTTTTAAGAATAAACCCAAAAGAAAGAGCTTGCAGCGTGAGAATAACCCACAGTCTCAAATCTCAAAGTTCATTTAAAGCAAGCCATGAAGAAGTAATGCAAAAAACTATGGTAAGGGCTGCAGACCACCCTTCAGTCAATTCTACTGGGAAGATCAGCTGCTGCTGCTTTGTGGGAAAGTTTAGTAAAGTATAAAACTTCATCCAGACAGCTCATCTCATCTTCTGTCTTTAAATAACTTGTTATACAACAAATCACAACCAGTTTCTCAACTGAAAGGATTAACTGAGCAGAGTATAGAGTCTTTGTGATCATTTGAGGAGTGAAAGAGAAATTTCACGCTTATCACATTATGTCACGGCCACTGTGTTGATCCACCCTGACCTCTCTGTGCACCCTGGGCTCAGGCACCTGGCCCTTAGAGGAAGCCACCACATGGGTGACCTCTGTGACATGTGCTTAATAAAACAACAAGCAGAGTTTTCACACCACTGGAATGGCCTGACAAGCTGCTCATCATTAGGCACACAACACAAGCCGCACTTGTTTGGCCTGTTCTATAGACCCTATAGATTTACAGTTGAGGCCAAAATTATTAGCCCCCCTATGAAAGTTTTTTAAGTGCTGTTCAACAGATTAATGATTATTTTTTTACACAGCTTTTCCAAATATCCTAGTTATATTTTGGATCCTTACATTATTTTACTTTTCACACAGAAACAAAATTATTTCACAAAAACCAAAAACTACCAGGGTCAAAATCATTAGCCCCCTAAAGAATTGACGTTTTTATTGAGCCAAAACAAAAAACACTGTTGCGCAATCATTTGCTTTTACTTTCGAGTGCTCACAGCTTGTCATCAATCAATCAAGTTAAAACAAAGGATTGTCCTACACTTTACACACAGTATAAAAACCTTGTTGTGCATTTGAGCTGTCACTTGAGTAGGCATCATGGCAAATACAAAAGAATTCAGTTTAGACTTGAGAAAAAGAATTTTTGATGCTCACAAAGCAGGAGAAGGATACAAAAAATTATCACTGCATTTCCAAGTGTCAAAAAGTGAAGTGAGAAGTATTATCAAGAAATTCAAGGAGAGCCACACAGCACAGAACAACTCTGGGAGAGGTAGGAAGTGAAAAATTTCAAAGAAACTGGAAAGAAAACTGGTGGGAGATGTGTCTAAACAACCTAGAACAACTACCAAAACAGAAGTTGGTAACTCAGCCAAGTCAGGAATTGTGGTATCGAACCAGACAGTCTCTAGAGCCCTGAACAGAAATGGACTGCGAGGATGCAGGCAAAGAAAAACTCCACCTTCACAAAAGAGACACCTTCAGGCCAGACTGAGGTATGCTAAGGACAATCTGGAGAAAGATTGTGCATACTGGAGATGTGTTCTTTGGTCAGATGAGACCAAACTAGAGCTCTTTGGCCACAGAGACATTGCTAATGTTTGGATAAAGAAGGGTGAGGCGTATAACCCTAAGAACACTGTCCCCACAGTTAAACACGGTGGTCGGAGTATCATGCTGTGGGGATGTTTCAGTGCATCTGGATCTGGGAATCTTGTCAAGGTTGAAGGAATAATGAAGAAAGAAGGATATGTGAAGATTTTGAAAGAAAACCTCAAGCAGTCAGCAGCAAAACTGGGTCTGGGTCATTGCTTTGTCTTCCAACATAACAACAAACCAAAACATACAGCGCTCCTGGTGAGGAGCTGCCTCCAGGAAACCAAAGTGAACATTATTGACTGGCCTGCACAAAGCCCTGCCTTAAATCCTATTGAAAATCTGTGGGCTGCACTGAAGACCAGGGTCCATGCTAGAAGACCATCAGATCTGGAGGAGCTAGAAAGATTTGCCAAAGAGGAATGGACTGGGATTCCTCAGAAGATGTGCCAGAGGCTTGTCACAAACTACAGCAAACAACTGCATGCTGTTATCCAGCAAAAAGGACACACAATTGACTATAAGCCTGAGGGGGGCTAATATTTTTGACCCTGGTAGTTTTTGGATTTTGTGAAATAATTTTGTTTCTGTGTGCAAAGTAAAATGATGTAAGGATCCAAAATAAAACTAGGATATTTGGGAAAGCTGTGTAAAAAATCATTAATCTGTTGAACAGCACTTCAGAAATTTTGGAAAAAAAACCTTAAAATTTCATAGGGGGGCTAATAATTTTGGCCTCAACTGTATATCTATGTTCTATAGATCCACCACTCTCTGAGTGTGGGTGAGATTTGGAGTCTACTGCTGTATTTTATACTCACAACACAGTAAATTATTGAAGAAAGTGATGCTATGACTGATCTCCTCAGCAGGAATTATGAGCCTAGAAGTTTGTTTGCTCCAGAATCCCGGGGATAAAGACATATGGTCCTCTGTAACTAAGATTATAATGTATGGTCAATGGTGTCAACATTGATATAAAAAATATCAAATCTCCAATCAGTCTTATTCAAATGTTAATGAAAGCCACTAAGTTCCCATCACTTGGCTGAATGTCCAGGGTTTTTCCTGCGTTCAAAATTGCGTGGCGGCCGCCTCCACCTAATTTTGTGCCGCCCCCAGCCAGAGCGATTGATTTCGCTCAACACAGCGTAAAGCTCCAGCTGTGTTGATTGAGCGATTGATGTCCCGATGCAGCAGCAACGTATTTTAACTGCAGTTGCAGGGTTGCGCCACTATAGAGGCGCTATATCAACAGCAGTGCACCGGAAAGACCTGAAGCATCTACCGAAGAAGAAACGGATCGAATCATGCTTTTTCAAGTTTTTTTCCCGCTAGTTGGTGCTGTCGGCGTCCTGATTTTCCCTGGCGGATGGTACAAACAGGTAAATACTGCTTCTCTTTTTGGCATCCAAGCATGTCGTGTTTATTTAAAAAAAAATGTTTACTCTGTTTTTAGCGTTGCAGTTATGACAGGCAAAATCAGCCAGTACTTTAAAAAGCGACCTCGCGAGGAGGAAAGTCAAGAGTCCAGGTGAAACACAGCAGAGAAAAAAAAGGAACAGGCAGTTAAAATGCTATAATTCATGTTGGTGACAACGTGGAAATTTGTGTCAGGTCTAAAAGTACTCCACAAGGGACTGGTGATCGCGAGGGTCAGAATGCAGGACAGGACGAGTCGGCGAGGCGAGGGTAATTAATTAATTAGTTTCCAATTAGGAGCATAACAACGCAAAACCAACGTGTACGTGGTTTTTATTCCTCTTTCCAGATCTTCTCAAAAACACAGAGCCAGTGGCTTTGACAAGCAGTGGCTCAATCAATTTGCCTGGCTCAGGCATACTGAGGAAGGCATGCACTGCTATTTATGCCAAAAGCACTGTGCCCCAACACAGCAGGTAATCTTAGTGAGACAGCCATCAACCAACTACAGGCTGGACACATTAAAAAGACATGAGGTGACAGCCATTCACAAAGCAGCAGAAGAGAAGGAGAAATATATTAAAGATGGTTGTACCTAAAAAAACTCAACTAATAAAGTTACAAAAAAAAAAAAAAAACATTGTTTAGATAGTTTAAGAAATAATTGGTTGTCGTTTTTTTTTTTAGGGAGGACACTGCAGCGTATACATATATATGATTGAAAACACTATCACTCTTCATGTCTGTATCAGAATAAAAACAAAAATACTTAATGCATGATGAATTGTTTTGTTTAAGGTGAAGACACCTCTGTGGAACAGACTGAGGGAGAGGCACTTGGATGTCTGTTGTAAGGTGGCCGTTGATGGACCAGACCAGGAGGCCTTGGACTACAAGGGGTGCATGAGGAGGTTCTACAGAATGAAAAAGAGGAGGCTGAAATGTTCTGTCTGGTTGCGAGATGTGTGGATGAAGTGTACTTTCAATTTAAAGTTGCCAGCTGATTTGTGTATGTATATAGTTTTAATAAATGAATGCTTTAACATAATAATGGTCACACTCTTTTTTGAACTCTTAACTTAAAGTATGTCGCCTGTTAAAGAAAGTGAATCGGTTGAATTTACAAATACATGCACGTCGTGGCGCATGGTCAGGATGGTGCCACCTCTGCCTCAATTTGAGCCAGGAAAAACCCTGATGTCAATTCACATGTTCTATGTGGAAAGTCTAAAAGTGTCATCTAGAGGGAAGTTACTCTGAACAGTCTGGATAACAGTGTTTCATTAGCTGCAGTTACACAGGACCAAATGTTCTGATCATGAACAAAGCACAACAGAACCAAAAGGCTCAATCAGACTTTACAGGTCCAAACCAACTAAGGGGGTTTTAAGCCTTTCAATAACCTGATCAAGACAAAAACTGTCTATGTGAACAGAGGCCACTTATATGCTGTCCAGTTGGGAAATTTATACTGTTACAGCTTCTCTGCAATCAACAACCAAAGGTGTCACAGTGAGCTGGAGTTGTTTCAATGTTCATAAGGGAGCAGGTCAACTGACATATAGTGCTGATTTTTTTTATTTTTTATTGGTGTTCTTTTGGTTGGTTGTTTTTTGCATTTGGCAAAATCCCATAATTAAATAAAAGCAACAAACAAAAAAATAAATGACTGAACTGTAATAGATTTTTTAACCAGATAAATGAAGATGGAAAAATATATGGCTCAGCTTTATATGGATTCAAATGAATCCACGGAGAGACACAGATATTAGTTTATTCTACAGACTGCTAAACATGACAGATATTACTGCTAATCCTAAATACTACAATATTAAAACACCAATCAGTGATTGGATTTGATGTGATAGCAACTCTGTGTTTGGTATCAAGTTGGGCTCACTGGAGGATGTGGTAAAGAGATCAACACTGAGGAAGGTGGAGACTATTCTAAAGAACATGGATCACCCACTTCATAACCCCTTGCTTGACCAAAGGGCCAATGGTGGTGGACGGCTCCTCTCACTTTGCTGCAAGACAGAAAGATTCAGAAGATCTTTTGTACCCACGGCTACCAAATTCTACAACTTGACTGTAAATAATCGATGATATAAAACTTGAAAAATGCGAACCCAGATAATTGAATTTTCCCTTGGGGATTAGGTTCTTCTCTTACCTTATCTTAGTTATCTGTGGACAAAAAGACTAGGGCACTACGAAAAAACACAGCAGTACAAAACATGTCACAGCTGCTTTAAAGACATCACAGCTGTTTTAAAATCATCACAGCAGTTTTAGTCACATCATAGCTGTTTCAAGATCGTCACAGCTTTTTTAAAACATGTCATAGCTGTTTCAAAGACATCAAAGCTGGTTCTAGCATGTTATAGCTGTTTTATAAACATCAAATCTGTTTTAAAAACGTCACAGCTATTTAAAAAACATTACAGCTCTTTTTAACGTGTCACAGTCGTTTTAAACACGTCACAGATGTTTTAAAAACTTCACTGCTGCATTAAACACTTTACAAACGTTTTAAACACATCAGAGCTGAATTAAACATGTCAGAGCTGTTTTAAAAATGCCACAGCTGTTTCAAAATATCATTCTGTTTTAATCACTTTACAGCTGTTTTAAAAACGTCACCGATGTTTTAAACACATCAGAGCTAAGGTAAACACATCAGAGCTGTTTTAAAAAGTCACAGCTGATTCGAACATGTCACTTTGTTTTAATCACCTAACAGCTGTTTTAAAAACATTAAGACTCCCTTAAACATGTCACAGCAGTTTTAAAATGGTCATGGCTATTTAAAATATATCATACCTGTTTTAAGCCCATTTCAGCTGTTTAAAAAACATCAAAGCTCTTTTATAAAATGTCACAGCTGTTTAAAGACATTCTAACTCTTTTAAACGTGTCACATGTTTTAAACACATCACAGCTGTTTCACAATCGTCAAGCTGTTTTAAAAAAAAGTCACTGCTGTTATAAACACATCCTAGCTTTTACAAACATGTCACAGCTGTTATAAACACATCACAACTGTTTCAAAAACGTCACTGCATTTTTAAAAAAGTCACAGATATTTTAAAATGTCCACAGCAGTTTCAAACATGTCACAGCCGTCTTAAACACACAAATGTGTTTTTTAACATGACACAGATAATTTCAAAATCTCACAGCTGCTTCATACAAGTCCCTGCTGTTTTAAACCATACAACGTATATAGAGTGGATGTCGTCTACCTCCTCAGAACAGAACAGCACCCTATGGTGACGGGCTGCAGTATAGATCATAAATCCGGCCTCCTCCAGCAATCTCTATGTAGTTGTGGACAAACTTCAGAAATTAATTACACAGAATATAAATTTAGGAATTACAGCGCTCTGTCCTGTTTCGTGTTGATAAACAGGAATTTATAGACTTTAAAACTATCAAACTAGAGATATGACCTTGGCCGACATGATTTCTATAGGTACTTGCAACTCGGACATTGACACAGACCCTGACACAGAGTCCTGAGAAATGTTGTACTTAAAACCAATTAAACTTTCACCTTGTGTCAAGGTGCTTTCTATTTTGGCTGTATTAGCTTCAAAATATGCTATTAGTAGATTTCAAAACAGCTCTCAAAATACATCCACTACAATGATGTGCTATTGACGGACAAAAATATCATTTAGTGTTGTCCCTGAGCATTGGTGTGTAAAGGATTGAAGGAGTAAAAGATGATGGGTCAGCGAAGGTTTCTGCAACAACAAAAAACACTGTTGCTCAAGAAACCTCAATTATACTAGAGTACTTGATTAAATTGGAAAAAACAGATTGAATCCATTTATTGTGTTTCTGCTGTAACAACAGACTATTTTCATTCGCCATTGATGAAAGAATTTTCATGAACAAATTAACTTTTGTTTTGTTGTTTTTTTGCCTTTGGGACTTCTTCTAAAGCTGTCCCACTTAAGCTTGAAGTATGATGACAAAAAAGCACCAACGAGCTTGAAATAACAGACCACTGGTCATCAAAACATATGACCTGATCTTTGTTGGTTTGATTTCCACTCAGCCGCAATAAAAAGAGTTTTTGGCACAAACCCTTCAGCACCAGCCCAAGTTCAGTCCATTTTATTTTATTACAATGAGTTTGGTTAAAGTTTTGCTTTCTTTACAGTCATTCATTTTTTTTCCATTGTGAGACATAAAAAACACTTCATATAAAGAAGAAGTCCAAGTATGAAGTGTCCTGTGATTCTGAGGAAAACAGCTGACACATGAATGGCCTGATATTTCCACTGTGAGACTTCTACAGAAACACATGCAAAATTACCCAAAAGCATTTACTCCTGCGTTTTGACCTTAAAGACCCACTCCAATGAAAATGTTGTTTTTCTTGTGGTCTACATGTTCACATGGCATTTTTCTGATGCTACAGGACATATCATGAGAACACTAAGAGAAAATTGCATTTTTGAGTATTTCTGCATTCAAATCGCTGTGATTCTCTGGCAGACCCAAACGGCAGGTTCAGACACAGTGGGATTTTCTATGTCACAAGTCTAAGCTCCGCCCCCTGCACTCCACTCTGCTGGCCAGACCCCTAGAAGTAGAGAGGACGATGGCCGAACAAGCATGTGCATTAGCGGATTGCAATGCTTGTGAGAAAGAAAGTTAATTATGACATTAACTTTCATCATGTCCCCAAAGACATTAGTGCCAGAGAGTTTAATAGCTCCAACCTTACCTGCCACTTCTAACACACCGGCAATGTTAGGCTGCTAGCTAGCATGAAGAGGAGTGTGCAGAGCTGCGCTGTCTCCGCCTTCGACTCAAAGGCGAATTGCTTATGAGCTACTGGAGCTCTGCAGAAGAAAAGCCCTTAAAAATGACACAGGTGACGCAATTTTGGCTAAAAACGTAATAATCACAATTTAAAGACCTTTGGGAACACTTTAAATAGTAAAAAAATAAAACACGAGTAGGACTTTCAGGGTTTGGCATTCTAGATTTAACAAGAGAGAATCTGCTGAAGCTTGGGGAAAGATTTACCTACTTGGCTTAGAAATGACTATCTGACCTTATGGACAGGTTGCAATTTATTAGCGCCACATGGCAAACACACTGAGGAACTTTTGTTATACTGTGGAATTTTTCTTATTCCTCTTCCGGACAAATTTTGATTCACTACTAGTCCTACAGCTTGAAGAGTCAGGGTTTCCCCTACATGCAATTAATCATGGCTCACTGCCACGGCTAAATAATAGCCGCCACACCTTAAAAGGTGAGGTTTTTTCTTACGTGGCTCTACCTTGGACTCATGTGTATCAGTAAATGCGGCACACACAGGCACTGCACCACAGAGCACGCTGCACTGCAGAGGGCGAGTGCACTGAGTATTGGCATTAGTAATCATATGCCATCACACAGCTGATAACCCCTTCCCCCCCATATGTATCAGTATATGTGGCGCACGCGGGTGCTGCACTGCAGAGCACGCTCACCGAGTTTTAGCATAAGCGATTTATCGTCTGCACCATACAGCTGATTAATATGCTCTCTGAGCTGCCCAAAACCCAGATTTTAGGTGCGGAGCACCTCCTCTTCAGCCTTAAACCAACACTAACCCAAGTGACTTCTTTTAGGTACATTTATTGGGCTTCACACAGCTTCCACTTTTCTGTCCTTGATCAAACTAATAAGACCAGCAGTCTCACCTCATTGTGGGGCAGCCCAGCAGCAGAGAAAATGGGGATCTTCTGTCCTCTAGCAATGCTATTCATGCCATCAATGGCCGAGATGCCAGTCTGAATCATCTCCTCAGGGTATATACGACACTGAGGATTGATGGGCTGACCTGGAAAACACAGAGACAGTTAGACACCGAGAGACAACAGTGATCAACTTCTCTGATCACTACTGGTTACATCATAATGATGTTGTGTAATTATGATGCCATAGAATTTCCTAGGTCAAGACAGTTGATTATTTTGAGTTAAATGTGAATGAGATACTAATTAGTGTTTCATTCCCTCACATTGACCATATTAATCCTGGTGACTTTTTCTGAGCCAGGAAATTTTAATAGAGGGTATTTAGAGTCTTATTTTGAGTAGGACCTGTGTGAGTAACTGTTACTGATAATGACTGCAGGTTCAAAGATGTATCCAGACAAAGTGAGTGCAGATTTCCACAAAATTAAAGAGAACTGGTCTAGTGGCTTTAGTGATGCTTTTGGCATCTTACAATTTAATAAATGTTTAATGGTGTACAGCATCCTCAATTAAAAATGCATATTCTGTGTGGCTGCTTGTTTTCTTAAGCTTTGTTAAGGATACATACTGAGCCCTGATTCCCACATGCTCAAAACATGATCAGTAAAATAGGAGGTTTGAGCATGTTTATGGGGAACTTCCCTCATTTCATCCTTTTGTCTTACAAAATTATGACTTGCGAAGTAAATATCTAGGCTTAAGTAAAGACATTTTCAAACAGCAGTTTTTGCCTGGTTAAGATAAACATGCTTTTTAGGGTCATACCCATGATGTCCAGGTAGTCCTCAGCCAGCACACTGGGGCCACGGTCAATGGGTTTGCCTGAGCCATTAAACACACGCCCTGAAAAAGAAGATTTTCACGTCTGTTATTTGATAAATAAATCCCTATTTGATTGATATAGCAGTTGAATTCAAAGATAATTAGGAAGGAGCAGGGATAAAATGAAATTCATTAGGTGACACTTCTAACCACATCTGATCTATTCTGCTCTGAGTCAAAGTCTAAACAGTTCAGAGTGGCTTTGATGGCTCTTGTCGAGTCTACAAGTAACAAGTAGAAGTAATTATAAATTCATGGACATGATTAACGATACTTAAGAAACAAAAGCAGGTGTACTTTCTACTGCTATTCAAATATATGTGGCCTTGTGCTGTATTGAGATAATCACACTGATTGAAAGATTCAAGAACGTTAAGAAAATGTTGATTCAAAGCTTATTTGCTTCCAACAATTACTGAAAAGATTTAAAATGGATGTAAAATAAATAGATTGAAAGAAATTGTCATTTTCTAATTTAAAGAGCATCCAAAATGCTTCAAAATTTTTTTCATTGTGTTACAAATATCTTTCGACTTCAGCTGGATTTCTCACTTAACTAAGAGGTGTCCAAATAGGAAAAAAGTGCCCATGAAGCTGATCATACCAAGCATGTCTTCTGACACCGGGGTACGCAGGATATCGCCAGTGAACTCACAGGCTGTCTTCTTGGCATCAATACCTGAAGTTCCCTCAAACACCTGAGCAAACACAGACATGACAGGTCATTAAGACTGGAAGAAAAAACTCACTTATGATGGTAAATGGACTGTGTTGCCATCTGTCTGTCTGCTCTTCTGACCACTTAAAAGTGTTTTACATCATGTCACATTCACTCATTCACACACTGATAACAGAGGCTGACATTATGAAGTCCATCAGGTTTGGACCAGTTCCATTCACACACCAGTCGGCATGTAGACAGCCCTAGAATCAAACCCCTGACCTTATGATTGAGAGTCAGCTGACTTTACCAGATAGCTGTTCCCAGTTTATCTACTTATATCTGACAAATAAAGCATGAAATAAATTATAGCTGGTTCACAGTGATGGCAATACTGGTTTCTTACATCGTCATCTGCCATAAAACACAAGGTAGACAAAGACAAAGCAGACCTTCTGGCTAGCAGTAGCGGCCCTCTAAAAGATGATTAGACACTTTTAAAACTGATGTCCTCACATTTACTTTAAATCCAAAATAATACAAGAACTTGTGCCAAGTGTGGGTGCAATACATATTTATATTTAACTACCATTCTCTTGTCCATTTTCCTTCAGTTTTATAACCTACACAATAGGGGAAGTAGCATGTACTTCATTTCAAAATAAAAGCATGTTTTCACAACACAGAAAATAAAGCAACCCAGACACAAGACAGTGTAACTGTTCACACATTCACATATTTGGAAAGAAACTTGCACAATAAGAGTCTACACATTTTCAATTTCCCTGAGGAAACCTTCCTAAAAGGATCGAGTAAATTCTATCTAATCTAATCTACACGAAGATGATTGATAATTATTACTTCAAGTAGAATATTATGTTTTTTTTCCTCAAATTTGAACAGAGCCCCATGAGGAGCTTCTTGCAGATTGGATCTTCAGAGCCTGAGGGAAACGCTGAATATGTGTTGAAGACTTTTCATGAATAGTTGGACTAAGACAAACACTGGCTGTCTAGATGAGGCACTTTGAATTCATTATACCTCAATAAGACTGAAAGACAATAAAATGTGATGAAATAAATAAGAAGGCAAATGATCAAACAAAGCAGCAGGCCTGCAGTGAGTGGCATTTAGTTGATGCTGTTTATGTTTCTCACCTGGACCACTGCCTTAGTTCCAATGACCTCCAGGACCTGTCCACTCCTTCTGGTGCCATCTGGCAGGGTCAGGTGAACAATCTCAGCATACCTGGGAAACTACATAGAAAAAGATTTCAGAGATTTATCTACAGCTGCCTAAAAAGTGTATCTATAGGATTACTACAATGGAAATACACTGAGCACTGCTTTCCATTTGAAAACATGTCATTCACAGTTTGTTGACTTCACAGTAAACGGACTATGTTTCTATCTCTTCTATCAAATCATGAATGGAATCTAACAAAATTAAACATACACAGATATGAGAACGCCTTCACTAATTTAAAGTTGAATATGAACAGAAATGTTTGGTAGCCTCACCTTCACATTGTCCAGGATTACCAGAGGTCCATTTACACCCGAAACAGTGGAGTAGGCTGAAAGACAAAGACAGAGTTTATCAGTCCCACAATTTACACGGGCTAAGGGCCACAAGAAAAAAAAAAACACGCTCCCACTGAAAGCCCCAAATAAACCTTGAGAAAAAAACACACTACCTTAAAGCTGGCAGTGTTAATAGTCACAAGCTGACCTTTCATGGTGAGTTTTGAACAGCTTTCATGCACTTCCTGGCCTAAATGTCAAAGGCAGGCAAATGTCAGGGGAAAATGCATGAAATTAACCTGTTCACATAACCTGTACAGTTGCTTCAATTACATAGGCATGCAGCTGGTCCCGGTGGAGTTCAATGGAAATAGTATGGGACCTTCCCCTTCCATTAAATCACAGTAACTGCAGGAGGACACATTGCCAAAGAACCCCAGACCTGGACAAAAACTACTTATCACAGGAGTCACTTTTAGAAAACTCAGAGAGTTTAAAGGAAATAAAAACTAAGCTGTGATGAAGTGAAAGGGACAATGAAAAGTGTTTCTTTGTTGTCCTCTTAAAAGCAGGTCTGTTGTCTGACTAGTTTTGACCAAACATGTCTAAGTTAGGGTTGGTTTGCAGTGAAATAGTCCAGGTGGAGAAAAAAAATGGCAAAGAACAATATCTGGTGCCAAATTAAGACACTCTAATGTTTCATGACTACAGAGGTCATTGTTTTACAGCACAAGAATGGACTTCTCCTGCATAAACATGCATTGTAAGAAGTAATGGTTCTCCCTGTTTGCAGCAGATATTGACTGAATTTGGAGAAACTGTCTGAGGGGGAAAAATAGGTGTTAGTATAAAACTGCTGTGCAATCTGAGGTCAGTCAGACAGTGGAGAAAATAGTCAGCTATGGAGGTCTGATGAACGGCTGTACTGTCAAAGCTCCTACATTCTATTTACACTCCACTCTTGAATCTCATGTTGCCAGTCAGGCTATAAAGGATGACCTGTTGATAGACAAAGACAGATAGCAGATAAGCTCTCAGATATCCAGTGATATAGACTGCCTCACAAAGCAGGCATATTGAACATTAGTATTGATATCTGACTTATAACTACAGTTCATCTGATGTGACAAACTAAAAAAAATTATCTGGACCTTACATGTTTCTTATCATAAAAGGGAAAAACACATTCCTTTTGCTGACATGGTTACACAACGAATCCATCCCCCCATCCTGCTGTACATCTGCATAGGAGGGAGGGGGGACAAAATGCAAGGATGGAGCTTGAGGAGAGGGGATGGGGACTGAAGGTGGCGGCATTGTTTCCACTGGGTTTTTCTTTCCGTCTGGTGTTCCTCTTTATGTGTGAACCGTCAATCTTGGGGCTGATATCAAAGGCCCAAGGAAATTAGAGCAGACTGGTAGAAACATAAAGCACTAAAGCTTAGCGGGGTGCACCCACTATGCCATTAATTAGGCAGAGGCCAACAAAATAACCTGTCAATGTGCTACAGCATTGCAGCCATTTCCCCACATACACCTGCATTTCACCCTCTATAAGCCAGACAGGCCTGGTGTGTGTGTGCGTGCGTGTGTGCGTGCGTGTGTGTGTGTGTGTGTGTGTTTTGAAGGTGTAGTGGGAGATGGTGGAGGGAGGATGGGGTGGAGACTATTGAAAGAGCAAGAGAAAAGATGGCTCAAGTGTGATGATGAAAACCAAGGGCACCACAGACAGAAAAAAAAAAAAAAACATGTTCTTCTCCAAAATAAAATGAGTTTTACTTCAATTATCCTTTATCTCACTTCCTACCTCTGAGCTCAGATTCAGCTGAATGATTCAGGTTCTCACACACATTTTTTGGTTTGTTCCTTAGACCTTGCTCCAAGCTGGGTTGGCTGGGGATGAGATGGGTGATGAAATGCATTTTCTGAATATCCTTTGCTTTCCTCCAATAATCAGCATAAATCTGTGTAAGATAACGTCTCCTTCAATATTTTACTGCATTTTGATGTTTTGCTTTTCTCCTGTCAGTAAAATCTTTAAAGTAAATAAATTGATAAACACAACACTCAATACCAGTCCGGACTCCCCGACTAAGTCAGGGAACATGCTGTTCTCAGGACTTAGTGAGGGAGCTTTCAGCATTATTAATGCTGCTATGAAAGTAATGCTACTGCAAATTGTTTGGCTGGTACAGGTACCTCAATCCATCCCCTAACTTTGCTACAAAGACAGTTTCAATTGATTTTAGAACCTGACCAATAAAACTAGGGATGTGCTTGTGTAGTCGACCTAACAACACAACAGTGGGTCAACTTAAATATCCAACTAACGTTAGCCCTTGTACTTTTTCAAAGACAAATGACCTGACGACAAAAATTGATATTTGTATACTGATTGAAAATAACCCTGTCAGAAATTCATAGTAAAGTTCTTAAAAAGTTAATATAATTTAAAAACTCATGGAGAAGTTCAGAAATTTCATCCAAAAAGAAGAACTCCAGTTAGCACCCTTATTTAAACCATGCATTTTTTTATATATCCTGCCTTTTAAAAGAATCGAAATAAAGAATCGATAGGAATCGGAATCGAAACGAGGAATCGAAATCGGAATCTTTCAAAATCAAACGATACCCAACCCTACTCCTCACAGCTCTGAACTGGTCATGAGGGAAAAAATCTTTACATCTTTCCTGGCTGTTTGTTGATTCCAATTAAAAACCCCTAATATTAAATATTATTCATATATTCTCTGTGTTTCTACTGAAGTTAGCTCAATTCTAACTCAAATGTGATAAACATATTCCTGTAATTCATTTTTCTGTTACATTAAGGAAACACACCTGAATCTGATTTGAGCCAGTCTACTTCACAGGTAACTTTTCTCATGGTTAAATCTCATTTTAACAATAACACTGTTACACAAATATTTAAACTTAGGATTGACCTACTGCACAGGTAACTTTTCTTAAAGTGAAATCTCGTTTTGACCTAACACTGTTATACAAATATTTAAACTTAGGATTGACCTACTTCACAGGTAACTTTTCTTAAAGTGAAATCTCGTTTTGACCTAACACTGTTATACAAATATTTAAACTCGGTATAGAATGCAGAATTCACCTGTAATATAAAGCTTCACTTTGTCCTTCAATTAGGACCAAGGGCCAAAGCCCCGAGGCACTTTTGTCATACTGTTGATTTTTTCATTCCTCTTCTCAACAAATTATGATTTGTTACTAGTCCTACAGCTTGAAGAGTTGTAGGACAAATTGTATATTAAAATGTGCGGTTTGATTGGGATTAGTGTGCCAATACTTTTCTCTTTTGTATACAATTTTTTTGTGACATAAGTTGTGAAAAAATGGAAAAATGTTGCATTGAAGTCAACCGGACAAGCAAAAAAAAGTAGGGATGGACCGAATGGGAAAATCTTGGCCGAAACCGAATACCGAATATGAGAAACACTTGGCCGAATAACCGAATACCGAATAGCCGAATATGATTCATAAATATGTATATAAATTATGAATTTTTATCACCAAGCAATTTTTGTACAATTGCTGTCATTGCTGTACATTTGTTTTAAAGCTACCTGATTATGGCAAAACCTGGCAAACTTAAATATTAATCACTTTATGTTTGAACCATGAAGCATTTATTCAGCTTCAGCACATGACATAACAATGCTATAACAATAACATTCAATAAAATAAAATTAAGTAAATAACATCTTTGCAATAACAATACAAAAAAAGTGCAATTTTCCCTGTAGGATAGCCTAAAGTAAATAAAATAAATAAAATAAAATGCACATATGCAAAATAAATAAAATAAATGCAGGTACGTGCATGCATATACATGATTGTGCAACAGTAAACACAAATCCAGGCCTGAGGACTTCAACAATAAATGCACTTACATGCATGCACATACGATTGTGCAAACTTTTGTGCAGTGAGTTTCTGAAACTCGTCATGTTTGTCCTTATGTTTAGCGCTCAAGTGGTTGATTAGCCCCGATGTACTGAAAGTTTTTGCCGTCACACCACCTCGAGACACTTCAGCAGAACAGCATTTACAAATTGCCATCAGACCATCTTTCTCTGATATGTCGAAATATTTCCAAACCGCCTCTTGTCGTGTTCCGATTACGTCATCAACATGCCACTAAAACAGGGAAAACAGCGCCGTCTGCGTTTTCCATTTTTGAGAGTTCATACTAGACCCATGTTTATCCACACTATTCGGTGATTTTTTTCGGCTTAAACATCTATTCGGCCGAAAATTCATTTTTAGAGCTGTTCGGCCGAATATTTTCGGCGATGAATATTCGGACCCATCCCTAAAAAAAAGGTAAAAGAGCAATTATCTTAGTTTTTCAAACATCTACTATTCTAGCTCTGTTTTCTTTTTTGTGGGCATATATATATATATATATATATATATATATATATTTAGCTTTTTATAAATAGTTTTTATGTTGAATAAAGTGTTTTTATCTCTATCAGCTGTGACAGTTTAATAGCAAAGACTGTCAAAACTCTCAAACTCTCCTGATGAACATTAAACAAGATGCTATGTTAAAACAACATGTCACAACTCAAGTGATCTGAAGCATCAAGAGAGGGACGGATCAAACCTTTAAAAGGCATATTGATTCAGGGATCATACCATAATACTGCCATGAAAATAAGGTGAAAGTATAAATCAAGAATTCGTCAAACCTGAACAGTCCTGATACACCTGTATGCACATCTCCTCTGTTTGTGTAGACAACCATCACTGTTTTCATTCACTGAGGTCAACAGTGCAGTTTAACGGGCAGGTTACAGTGAGAATTCTCTCACAGCACTAGATCAACCTTATCACAGGTCTTTATATCCGTATGGCAAAAAGTCCATACTCAGCAATATCACTTAGCTTTAAGTCATTTAGCTTTTTTTTTCCCCTCACTGCGTTCGTGACACAAAGCATAGTCTCTGAGTTGTCCAGAAATGTAACATTTTTCTCTAAAGGGTTAAAATCTACAATCTGCACCTGAAACACCAACCAGCTACTGAATCTTTCCTCGGTGAGGATCAGATACAACAATCCTTGATTCCTGGAGCAGTTTGGATCCATGCTCTATCCCAATGATTGACAAATTTCATGACAACCTCTAAATTTTAACATCTCTTCTACCCAAACTTGACCTTTACAAAAAAATTTTTGACAATGTTACATAATTAGACAGCCAAGCCCTTCTTTCCCTGCAAACAGCAGACTCTTCATGATGGATGTGCTCATAAAAAAGCCTTAACAGCTACACTTAGCCTACAAATTGCCCACACTTCTCAAAAGAGATACATATGGCTACTATTTGGAGGTTGATGATAATAATAATCAGAATGATGATGCAGGGAAAATTGGGCAACATAATTATACAGGGACCTCTTAGAAATCCCTAATTCTGCTGCATATTAATGGTAGATATTTGGCAACACTGTTGAGAAGGAAAAGATGAAAAATTTAAGGGGACTCGGCCCTCCATAGTGTACTGTGACCATCCTGCTGTATTTGACATCTACTGCACTGCTGCACAGACAAAAGGCTTAGAAATATACACACTCACCCACTGTATGAAGACATTAATCAAGCAAACGAGACTGAAGCGGCGTGTCCAAGTTATTTTGTATCATCAATGTGCATCTCCAGTTTCCCTTCATGAACAACACTGAACCCCAGCACAAGACAGAGCCTCTAAAAATCAGCATTAGTTTCATAAAGTCAGTGCAATGACACTGGGGTGGAGGTTTTCATAAACTGAGTGTGTTATGTACAGGTACAACAAAAACATTTTCAGAAATGCTGGGGTCATACCTTCACTTTACTTGTGTCGATTGTTGTTTCTAAAGTGTTTCCATTGGTATTGTTTGTTGAGTGGCAGAGACTGATGCCTATAACCAGAGCAGTTGGGCTGATGGCTGTTATACGTAACACTGATATTGGACTGTCACATGACTGTTTTTGATTTGGGTTTTTTTGCATTTGATAAGGTACAACAATTTTAGAATAAAAACACCCATTATTTCATGTGCATTACACTCCCATATAAACAGTTATCATAGCCAGTAGTGTTCCAGATGCATTCATCAAACAGAGGCATCATTAAACTGCTTTGTTTTGGGGCGCCAATGGAAGAGAAAACTAAGTGGCCCACATACAGAGGCTACAGTTCTTATCACAGTGGCCACAGGTTGGATTCCTGACCACAGTCCTTTGCTACAGGTTTCCCTCTGCTCTCTTATTTCCCATCCCTCTTCAGCAGTCCAACCTCAAAAAAAAAAAGGTTGGGGAAAAAAAAAAAATTCAAAAACTGCACATCAAACATCAGTTAAACTCATCAACATGAGTTAAAAGGTTTTTTAAATTTTATAAGTTTATCTTATTTAATTTACTTAATTTACTTTGTATGTTATTAATATGTTGAACTTATCTCTAGTTTCTTTAGTTTTTAGTACAGATGCCTTAAATCTGGCAGTTAAAAAAAAAAAAAATCATGGCAATAATCAAGATCAGACGATATGAAAAAATATATCGTGGTCCTTTTTTTTTTTTGCCAAATCGCCCAGTCCTAGTTTCAAGAACACCATTTCCCACTGCTGCTCACTGAGGAACACACACTGGTGTGACACAAAAGAGACCAGTTACACATCAATCCCACCTACTGGACCAACATGGTTCTGTCACCATTTTCAACACTATTTTCCTCCTCACAGTGACTGAGAAATACACAAAGGTAAAGATAAAAGCTTCAGCACAGACCAGGAATATTTAAATTTTACTGACCAGTATTACTTTTGCCTCTAAATCGTAGTCTTTTCCTGATTCTAACTCTAATTTTAATAATCACTGTAAGATTCTAACAGCAGTGAAGCCTCTGTGATGTTCAGAGTTGTTATTTAGAGGTTTTTTAGGTTTATTTTCAACATACATTTATAATGTATTTGGCGACACTGAGTTTGAGGTGTGTATATTATTTGAAAAGAGAGTCTCCCAAGGGTTTAAAGGTCTGACCTTGACCCCATATGTTAGCCCATCATTATCTGAAAAAGAAAGAAAACAGAACAGTTCATGGTTCCCTCTTACGTAGAACTGTGATGATTAAAAAAAAAAGCGGGTTTGCTCTCTCATTTCACCAGATAACCACAGCTCAATGGGCTATATGTTCATGAGGTGTGAAGTAGCAACATTTCCCATTAGGTTTGGAAAACTTTCTCCACCCCTCTTTTGCTACTTCAGCTCAAGTGCAGCAGTCCCCTGGCTTGGCATGCAACGGCAGTGTGGGTCACCCTGCAGCCTGTTCAGCTGCCAGAGCCCTTTGTGTACAAAGATGTTAATTGGTCCTAATCCGCCACTAGAAGCTGTTTTGGTAGCCTGACCTCGCACCCTGAAGGACACCTTGGTGTGAAATACTAAAGAGCCCATTCAAGTGCCAGAGAAAAGAGGCACAGAGCATTCCAACACAATTCAATTTCCCAGCTGAAAGAGGGTGGAACTGGAGGGGAGAAGGGGGCTCGGAACTGGGATAGAGAAGGGGGCGCATCATCGTTCTGACAATAAATGAACGCCACAAAGCAGTGGCTGCTGTGATGTGCAGCCTCACAATCATGTCTTAGCCTCTACTTCAAGGGATTCCCACAGCCCCACTGGACATGGGAATGCTAATTGCCTCTGACCTACAACCAGCAGTCCCTACACACCCCATACACCCCCCCAACCTCAGCACATGCGCATGCATACAGACACGCACACACACACCTACGCACACACACACACACACACACAGCCCAGAACCTGCAACAGCAAGCCAATAAACCCAAAAAAACAAACTTAGAAAATGATTTAAGCTTCAAACTGGCTGTAAAACTTTTTCTTCTCTGTGCAAGCTGATGGTTTAAGGTGTACACTACAGGCCAAAAGTTTGGAAGCAAGGCCATTACAGACTGAACAGTTGGGAGTAACTTCAAGTTTTTGTTCACAATGCTCTTTTTAAAATCCAGCATGAGTTTTATGTATTTTGGGATGTATTTACTCCATGATCAGATGTTGCTTTCATGGAAATGCACCATTTTACGCCATTTACCTTTAGATATACATTGATGTTAACAGACCATTGCTAAATATATGTCAGCAAAAGATAATAAGGGCTTAATTTTAGGGTTGAAAACATTTGCAAGAGTCACAACTTCAGTGCAAAAGCAAAAAAACAAATCACAGTTGGATTATTCACTTCAACTTTTTGGCTTTTGGGAGTCTGCATACAAAAATCCTAATAAATCTCAACTGCGTTCAAACTACAGCAAAAAAGGCTAGAAAGAAGCAACTGAGTAAAGAAACAAAAAGTACCGAGTTGTACATTGAGGAAAGACAGATACACAGAAAGAGAAATTGCAAAACGCCTAAAGGTGTTTAACAAAGGAGTCCACTACACTCTGAAGAGACTAGAGGAACCTGGAAGTTATGATGATAGAAAAAGACGAAAGAGAGTTACTACAAAAGCAGAGGATAAACATAGCATTGTTACCAATAGGAGAGATCGGCGAAAGACAGCACCAAAAATAAGGGAGGAAATCAACATGACAAGGTCGAAACCCATATCTCTGACAACTGTGAAATGACGTTTGAGAAAGGCTGGTCTGAAGGGTTGTGTATCTGCAAAAAAACACTACTTCATCCACAGAACAAGAAAAAGAGATATAAGTGGGCAAAAGCTCACAAAGATTGATGATGCTATGATGACTAGAAACAATTTTGCACTGTTTGGTTCAAAACACAGAGTCTATGTCCACAGACAAACTGGTGAACGTCTGAAAGCACCATGTGTTACACCCACAATTCAGCATGGAGGTGGTAGTTCCATGGTATGGGGATGTTTTGCAGGTGATGGAGTAGGAAACTTGTTTGAAGTAAAGGGTATCATGAAGAAGGAACAGTACCACTCCATCCTCCAGCACCATGCTGTTCCATCTGGACTCAGACTTGTGGCTCATAAGTTTGTTTTGCAGCAAGACAATGACCCTAAGCACTTTGCAAAGCTCTGTCAGGGTAACCTATACAAAAAAGAGGAAGGTGTTCTTTAAAAGATGGTTTGGCCCCCTCAGTCTCCAGACCTTTCTCAATTGAGCTTGTGTGGGATGAATTGGATCGATCGTTTAGAAAAACGCATCCCACAAATCAGCAGTCTCTTTTTAATGAACTTAAGAAAGTTTGGAATGAAATCCCTGGAACATACCTTAAAAAACTTGTGGAACGAATGCCTGGTATATGCCAAGCTGTTGTTAAAGCCAGAGGAGGTTACTTTAAAGAAAGCAAAGTCTAAGCAACAATAACTCAAATACCTAATAATTATAGTCAAAATGTCTTCTGATAAGTTACTCTTTACACAATAGTCATGTTTATTGTGTTGCAAATTATATATATGAAACTATGTTCCTTTTTTGTACAAAGCTGATCTTGCTTCAAAACTTTTGGCCTGTAGTGTACATTTGCACCAATGGCACCTCTTCAAGCTGAAGCAGAGTTGCTGCAACTGTTTTAATCTGCACGGCATTTCTGCCTTAATGAAAATAGACAAGACACTGGTCTTCAGTTTTCATCCTCCAATGCCATGGTGGAAGTAAAAAGCTAACAATACGGACAGCAGTTTTTTCTTCTAATTTGCTTTTTGGGCTCTTAAACCTTAATTTAGATGAAAGGACAGTAAGCAGTGTAGAACTGCAGTTTGAAGAGGAGAAGCCAATGTCGAAGTTCAAAAAACTCCAGTTCCTCCAGTGACCACCTGAGGCTGGCTGCAGAAGCACCGGAAGCCACATACACACACTTTAAAAAGCCAAAAACATGTCCTTGGTTCAAAAAGACTTTTTTTCTGAGTGGCTCATTTCTCTATCCATACCAAGCTGTAACCTGTCTTGAAAAATGAATGACTACGAAGTGCTAAAAACGGTTGTACCCCGAGGGCACACTGAAGGGTGGCTGCAGAGGTACCGGAAATAATGTGCACACTGAGCCAAAAAGCCCATCTTTAGAGTAAAAATAAACATGTTCGCATCCTGGTTTACAAACTGGCTTTGGTCTGATTAGCTCAGGGTTCCCAAAGCACCGGTTGTTTTTATGGTCTATGATCCACACACACAAATACACAGTCCCGCAAATGCATGCACACAATGATCTCAATGAATGTGCTTGACATGAGGGACTGATTTCACATCATCACACATACTGTTGTAGCATGCATGTGTGAAATTTTTCAACATTTTTGCATTATTGTGTGAACAGAGAAATATTCAGAAACATGTCTGGTGTGGGGAAGCTTTGTTTCTTTCCAACTGAAGAAAAAAATTAAGTTTTTAAAAATTTAAGTAAACGTGGACGTAGCCCAAGAATACATGCAGGTTTTATACAATATTGGAATCAAGCCACTGCTGCCAGCTATGAGGACTTATGCCTTCATAAATGGGCGCACAATTGAACTGCAAGGCCAGTCTGACAACTAAGCATGTAAGAAATCTAAGTTGTCGTTAAAATAGTCTGATTTGTAAAAATTCTAAAGAAAAAATAAAAAAAAAATACATTAAAAAAGCGATAACAGGATATCTTGTATTAACAGAACAGAAATAAAAATAAATATTTCTGAAGATAAAAACATGTTTAGTGTGACGTTAACAATGCAACACTTTCCAATATGGGGAAAGTTTGTGTACGTTTGATACAGGACTCAAGCCCAAGTCCCTAGGAGAAAATCGGTGGTTTTATGTCTTGGTGTTTTTTTTGGTTTGTTTGGTTTTTTTTTACAGTTAAATTCTGCCCTATTCACAGAACCGTATGGGCTACAAAAATTTGCTATCCAAAAAGGATGCATCTATCTTCTTATGACGTCAGTCTCGAGGCATTATATATTTTTTATATACACGCGATTTTCTTATTTAATGCCTACGCCTGCCACTCTTTGTGAAATAACAGATACAGACAACCTTTTCAGGAGGTCTCCATAATTTTTTGTTACAGATTTTTACTATTTCAACGATTATCTGCGAAAGGAAACTAAGGAAAAACCTTTAACAGAAACAAAACTCCACCAAGGTCACAACAAATACGAGAAAAACATGTCCCTTTTTCCTGCAGTGACACCTTGAAATACCACCATTATTCCTGTGGAGAGTTTGAGACTGCACAATCCTCTGCTTTCAACATACTGGATTTGTTTAGTGAAAGAAAAATAAATTCTTAATGATCGAGAAACAAAAGCACCAGAACAAATCCAATATTTTTTGATTTTTTTAAACTCACAGAAAGTGCCTTTTGTTTAAACACATGAACAAAAATGTGACTTAAGACTGGAGGAAGGCCATGCCAGATGTTTGGTTCAAGACATTTTTCATTAAATATAAAAATATTTAAAAAATTGCTAGGGGTCCAAACTGCTCCACCCTAGGTCATGCTAGTGGTTTTGACAACACTGGTGCAACAATGGCTGACAATCCATTCACATAAATCACTATTCCACCTGCATGTGACTTTTTTTCTTTATCTGGTGACTCTATAAACATACAAAGATATGAACAGGTTATATTCTTAATGACAAACCAGCCGTCACTTATTACTCCATCCTTCACCAGTCCCACCTGCGCTATGCAGTGACACTGTTGTGTGTCCCAACAGACCACAGGGTGACAGCGAACAGTTAAAGGTCCCCTATTATGGCATTTTTTTATCAAGTTTAAATCAGTCCCAGAGGTCCCACAATGGTAAATTTGAAGTTTGTTGTCTAAAACACCAGTTTATTTGTGGATATCAGCTAGCCTGTACCCCCCTCTTCTTTGAGCTCCACTAAGTGGTCCAGGAGCAGTGGTCTGGAGATCTTCTGAGGACCTCTTCAGAGGAACTCCAGACCACCATGGCTGGAGGCACCGGCCTGCCTCCACACCCCCGAGGAACACCCGCTACTCATGGGAATAAAAGTAAATAGAAGCAAGTCCGAAGACGAATACCAATGATGGTAAACACTAAGGGTGTGGAAAATAATCTAAACTAATCGATGCATCGATGCGCATGTGCGCGATGCGACTGCGTCGGCTCATTCACTGGGTATCGATGCAATTGACGGGTTAAATCTAGATTCATCTAGATGCGTTGGTGGGTATCGGTAAAATCTGATGCAAGCGCCGTTTTATTCATGTTAAACTTCACCCCATCTGCTGTTCCCCAGGCGCATTGAATGCACCATCATTATTTCGCGTTTTGTATTGAATACGGACGGAAGCCGTGAGGGACATACAATGCACGACTAGTAAAACAGCATGGACCACGCTCAAGTGAGCAGCAGCGAGGAAGAGTTTATATGTAATGCACCCGCTACGTTTAAATCATATGTTTGGAAACACTACGGATTTGCAAAGAAAGACGGAAAGCTCGACAAAACGTCCGTCATTTGCAAAGAATACCGCGTTAAGAAGCCGTACAACGGCAGCACGACAAACATGCAGACCCACTTAAAAAGAGTACACCACATCACCGACAAGTCTAATGCCACCTCCCCTCCCTTTGAAAGTATCACTTTAGGTTACTCATTGAGAGTGTTTTGTTGTTGCTGTTTACTGTACTTTTTACAGCAGTGATTATTGTGTAATTGTTTTACGCTTTTATTATTGCAGAACTCACTCAAATCACTGATTTTCAGTGGCCAGTTAGAAAGTCAACTCTAGCACATTGGTTTGGCAGACAGTAGTATGGCCATTGAATGGTTTATTTGCACCATGTTAGGCAGTGCATTAGTTGTTTAATAATGTGTACTGTAATATTACCCAACAAGTATAGAGCACTTGTGTGATGTAGGGTTGGGATTGGAATCCTTTTTTTTATTTTTTTTATTTTATTTTATTGATTCAGATTCCTTAACAGTTGCAGGAGGTCTGTCTAATCTGTGTAACTGTACAAAATGGAACCCAAAGGAGCATAGAAAAAAGACAAAAAGCACTTTTGTTGAATTTACTGCCAAGTGCCTTTAAGGAATAAAGCCAAATCATTTTTGTAGTACCATACTGAATTCCATCTTTTATTTTTATTTCTTTTTTTTCTTTGCTTATTTGCATCATGTTGAATTACATCATATCGCAACAAATTGCATCATATCGGATCGGATCGCATTGATTTGAACTAAATGATTATCGTATCGTATCGCATCATGAAGAGGGTGAATCGTATTGCATCGTATCGCCAGAAAATTCCATGTATCGTTAAAGTATCGTATCGCTGGCAGTGCATTCAGATGCGTATCGAATCGTCCTCAGTGCTGAGATTCACACCCCTAGTAAACACACGCGATTGCAGCCAAAGCACTAGTCATATGGGCGGCAGTAGAGCAACATAAAGTGGTAAAACTTACAGCTTCCACATTTAAAGCTGGGTCCCCGACACAGACAGTTGGTACAGATCCAGGTTTTATCTTCAGCTTCTAAGCAAATCCTGCTGTGAGCTGCCCCTCATTGGTACAGTCCATGGTGAAATGGTTAGCACACACATACAACATTTTCAGAGTTGTTGTGAGTACATTTCCATCGAAAATAAAATTAATCTGCTGGGTTCTCAAATCTTCCAACAAAGGAGGCAGAAATAGAGTCCTGTCTTCGTTTGTGCAGCCAAGAACCAAGCAGCGGCTGGGTTATAGCTTCGGCATGGTTGCTGTATGAAAGCGGCTTACGCGAGGGGAAAAAATGGTGGACGCTACCTCAGCAAAGAAGTTTTAAAGGGCTGGGCTAACGATTATTGGGGGTGCCGCCACCAACATGTAGGAGAGGCTTATGCGTTTATGTCGTCATAACCGCATGGCTTTTCCATTTGCTTGTTCGTGCTCATGTTTTCAGAAAGGAGGGGAGAGCAAGAGAGGGAGAAAATAATTTTTTTTCATGCCGGGTGGGGGTGGGGTTGTCGGCTTTGAGGGGATGCATATTATTGGTAGCGCATCATTGATAACTTAAATCCTGTCGGACCCTCTTCCATCAACGTGAAAGGTAACGTTCAAGCTAATACATGTTCTATATAGCGAGTAGCATTACTAGCATTAGTAGCACTAATATCAATGCGCCACTAATGATTTCTACCCACACTGTGTGAGCACAACAACACACAGAGTTATTTTTGACTTGTTTTGAGTATTTAACGAGCAGGTCAATTCCTGTCGGACCCTCTTCCATCAATGAGAAGTAGAGATGCACCGATTAATCGGCCGCCGATTTAAAAAGCCGGTTTTATATCCAACTGGCCCCAACCGGTGACCGGCCGGTCACTGTCGTAATTTGCCGGTTTTCCCCGAGCAAACTGACCCGCATGCGCGGTGCGTATCAGCTCCGAGCAAAACTGCTAAAAATTAGCAAGACTCAGGAGGAAAACATGATTTGACACTGTGTGCCAGAGCGACCCAAAACACGCTGTTTGTAATGCTTGCAAGTCAAAAGTCAGCCGTGGAGGATCAACGCCCAAGACAATTGGAAGAACAAACTTAATACGCCACTTGGAAAAGAAGCACCCAGGCTTGTTAAGCAAATATAAGGAATACACTGCCGCTAAGAGGAGGGATGCAGCAGAGTCGCAGCGACCACGAAACACCTGAGTCCACGGTACAAATTACCAAGTAGGGTGTTTCATCAGATTTACGAAGCCTTTATCCTGTACTACGCTAAACGGCTGGTCCTCCAGTGCCACGAACTCCATTATTTTCCTGGTGGTGGCTTTGGACTTTTCAGCGCTGATGTCGAACATAGGAGCCACGGCGGAGGGTTGTTGTGGTTGCGGCGACTCTGCTGCATCCCTCCTCTTAGCGGCAGTGTATTACTTATATTTGCTAAACAAGCCTGGGTGCTTCTTTTCCAAGTGGCGTATCAAGTTTGTTGTTCCAAATGTCTTAAGCGTTGATTGGTACAAACTACCAAGTAGGCGGTACTTTTCTGACACAGCGCTGCCAGAGTCGTTTGAGAGAGGTACTGGAGGGGTAGTCAATAAATTACATTGTACCAGGCAAATGCTGGGACGTTTTTGAATGTTGTTTGAATGTAAGTTAGTTATTGACCTGTAAACTGGACTGAATGTTATGGTCAGTGTTGAAAATAAATCTGCTCAGGAGGCACTGTTGAAACTCTCACTCTATTTCTTATTTGTGAGGTTTTATTCTTGAAAAGGGGGGTTATGATAGCATATAGCCTACCATTAGTTGTGCTTTTAATTGCAGTTAAGCAAAATGTTGTCTGGGAGAGGGGTACTTAAATTAAAATTGGGAATGGGTACTCAAGCCAAACAAATATGGTGTCTATTATATGATTATAATTATTTCTTAGATAGAAAATCGGTATCGGAAATACCGGTTTTGGCAGGTCAGACCTCCTTTAAAACCGGAAATCGGTATCGGCCAAGAATATTGCAATCGGTGCATCTCTAATGAGAAGAGTAACGTTCAAGCTCATACACGGTCCATATAGCGAGTAGCGCAGGTGACTTAATGCAACGTGAACGCAACAGCGTAGCTCCGTGAGCTACTTGGTGATCGGCTCGCCAGGGCTCCCCCCCTAAACAAGCGGCTGCTAGAGGAAAGTAGGCGAGTTGTGTTTGGTCTCTTTGCTAAAGAAATCAGGCAAGGATAAAAAGATGTTTGATGACTAGTAGGGCTGTCAAAATTGCCCTAAAATAACATTCGAATATTCGCTCTAAAAATAACACATAGGTTCGAACATATTCAAATATCTAGCTTATTTATTTAATATTCAAATATTAATTTTCATATTTGAATCTCATTTTTTAAAACAGACAGAGACAGAGTGGGCTTGGAGGGATATTCCTGCTCTGTGTCGTGTTCTTCTTGTATTCAGAATGGCAATCGGTATGTTTGGATTTCAGGTGATAAATTAAACTTGACGTGAAGAAACTCTTGACAGATGTACCGCCTCTTGAAATTTTAATATTATACACTTTGCTAATCACTATCCGTAGTTACATTGAAATACGTCCACCGGTAGACATGTTGGCACTTATCCAGACAAGCGACTTCTGGCTACGGTTTTTGCTTATGTTGTCACAACATCTGTTTCGGCAGTGGTGTTCCAGTGAGAAAAGTGTTTCTTTCTTTCGGTGGCTGAATTTTCCGTGCATCCCTAGTCTCAACATGTTACACCTGTGGTTTTCCTTCTCTCTCTCTTAAATCCTCTCCTACCTTAGCAGGGAAAGTGTACTCCAACTTTATGCCAAGCTCAGAACATCTGTACAGTTTGAGAATTTTGTGGGCAACATTTATAGCTGAAGAAAACAGTCTAGAGAGGAGGTTTTAATAAACAGTTTCTAGACTTAAAGTCACAGTGAGTGAACACCAGACTGCATCACAAAGGCTAAACGACTTAAAAAGATTAAGATATTTGTCCTAGTGCCTCTTTAGAGGCTAAGCACTGAAAGACTGTTTACCCACACCGGGCTCACTGCACAGATTTAGTCATCACTTCTGCTGTGGAAATTCCTTGGCTGATACACTATCATGGGGAATTTCTTAGATTAGACAGTATGCACTCACTTCTCTAAACCCATTTTGTAAGAGGAGGACTGCTATGAATTAAATGAGAGGTCAGCAAAACAAGAACGCCTTTGATTGGTCTTTGTTCATGCAGCAGACAGTAACAGCGTTAAAGCTTTAGCCAACATTTTAATGTTCTTTCATGAGAAGACTGACAAACGCCCACGGGAGTTTCTTTTTTCTTACTGACAAGCTAGCTGCTTAAGCCTAATTAGAATGTGGATTATAGAAGTGTTACAGAAATAACATTGATTTTATAGAAATGACTTTCATAGTGACAGATGAGACATTTGTTTATCGTGACTACATTATTACCATTAATTAAATCTTCACAAAGAAGTATAGTGCCTTGCTCCATGTCTTTTCACAGCACTAAATGACAGAATGCACCACTAAAACAAAGACAAGCCATTTCGTGGGCTAATAGCTTTTGTCGCATTTGACATGAGAGAGACAAAGGCCTCTTTAAAGAAAAGACTTGGTCTGATGAGAAATCATTTTTATTTGTTTATTTTCCTGCTTTGTTTCAGAGTGGCTTTTTCAATAGCGGCCTCTCTAACAGCTCTGTCAAGTCAATAAGGTGGTGACAAACCATCTCAACATCGTGATCTTATAGACTGTTTGATGGCAACTGGCTATACTCAACAAATTCTGCACAGTTCCCATATCTGAACATTATGTCTATAAAGTGGGACAATGCATGGGAATGATTTCCTTCTCTCTTTTTCTGTCTGCAAATGAATGTGCATGTGTTTAATTTCTCGTGTTTCCTCTGTAAACACAGCAGACTAAATAATTTGAATAAGGAAGTCAAGCTGTCATTGTCAGTCTACACAGCAGTTTTGAATGACAGAAGTACAAAACTCAAACCCGATTTCCCTGATTTCAGCTCCATTTAGCCTCTGTCCTAAAATGCTTTGTTTTCACTACTTTTTCGTAGTTTTTGCAGTAAATGATAACACAGTCTTGTGTTGTGTCGTTCATGAACATTTCGCTCAAAACCACGGAACTGCTAAGCGAAGGACGTGAACGGAATCCCTCCGAGACCTGATTCATTCCTCTTTCAGTTCAGTTGAACTCAGCCGCAAGCCTGGCATGCCAGTCGTAAGTCGAACTGCTGCCTTTGACTCTTTGGTGAACGACACACAGCCAGCAAGCGGGCAGGCGGCATCTCATGATTTGCTCACAGCAAATAAACAATATGTATCAGTCAAACTGTGAACGAAAGGCGTGTGAACAACCTGTGAATGACATGTTTCAGTCAGTCTAAGAACAAAATGCCTGTGAACGACATGAATCAGTCTGTGAACGAAACGTCTGTGAACGACATCAGTCAGTCTGTGAACATGTATAAGTAAGTGAATGAAATGTATCAGTGAGTCTGTGAACGACATGGTGAACGAAATGAACGACTTCTGAATGACTTGAGGCAGGCAGAGGAGGGAGGGGTGTAGCGTCGTTCACTTATTACCAAGCACCGGTTTGTTCACTGAGGCTAAGACAAAACAGTGCATTATAGTGCCTTTACGCGTGTATAAACTTACCTGCAAGAAGGATTTAATTTCAGCCGATTTAAAGCAATATGCTATTTGATATCTTTAAAAGTGGCAGAATCCCTGCTTCAGCTGCGAGAATTATTTTTAATCCCTCCACTTTTTAGCGATATAAAAGAACAACGACTCGCGCTCGTTCAGCAGGCGTGCTGCTTGCTGCTGTGTTGTTTCCGCCAACAGCTACACACAGAGAGTGCATTTTCCAGGTTAGGGGGGTGATTCTTCCTTCAGGACTTGGCGAATGAACGACATGTGTCACCCAGTGAACGATGCTGTGACTTCAGTAACAGGAAGGGGAGGAGCGCGTTCAATGAACAAACTCGCTGCTGTGTCACTCACTCATGTACTGCACCCACATGACGGGGCTCCGAAGCACTGACTGATTCAGTGAACAAATCTTTTGAAGGAATCGTTTTAATGAACAGATTCTAAAGATTCACTACTGTCAAAAGAACTGTTCTTCCTATCACTAACACAGTCAGACCACAGTTTTTTTTTTTTACTTTTCTTTACAAAGTTAAAAGCCTGATTTTACTATGACATAACTCCCAGTCTCTTTCCCACATTGTGGAGAATGTGGGAATCCAGGACTGATACACTTGGATCAACCCCTCTCTGGAATTGAGATTTCACGGTCAGTGTAAACTTTCCATTCCGAATCAGTGAAACTCAACCTGACTATGTGGGCCTTTTTGACTGTCTCTACCTGATAAAGCAAAGACAGATCACACAAACACAACAAAACACAAAAACCTCCTCTTGCTACTTGCAGGTCTTCAACACAGAGAATGGTAAATGCAGCCCCTCCAGTAATAAAAGGACATATCCGAAGTGTATTAACAGTTATTTGAAGACATCATTTGACTCGCTGCCTCTTCTTGAGAATGGACCTTTGCAGTTTAGTAATGCATTTGATGAGAGAAAAGGGGAGAAACAGGGAGAGCTATTCTGCCCTGACAAAATTAGAAAATATCAGAGGCAGCAGGGTGGTTAGATGTTTTCATGATGAGGGTTTTATCACATGTTGCATCCTCTATGCTCAGCTCTCAGATGGCTCGAGCTCCATTAAGTCATTTCCTTCTAGTTTGCTAAGAGGCTTTTAGTCCATGCTTGCTTGCCTGACACTCGCACAAAGGAAAAAGCATCACCTTACTGGCTTCATGGCTCAGGCCATATTCAGCAGCATAATGACAGTCACAGGAAAAGCTCAACATCAGGTACACAGAGCAAAGTGCCAAACAACACCACTGTTGGTGAAACTCCCTCTGCTGATTGAGATAATACAATCATCACAGTCATAATCAGGCCATCACAAAAACACAACTAATCACTGCAGTCACAGGAGCAGGAAGAGATAGTTCAGTGTGCCTTTGTTTGCCTTGATGAAATAAAAGAAACATTCATTTACACCTAGATACTCTCTAATCATTCCCAAACAGCTCACTCATCTTAACTTTGATGTATTTAAAACCCAGATGATTCAATTTAAACCAACACAGTTGTTTTTTTTTCAGCCTATACCATTTGAATGATAAAAGGCAGTTGATTACCTTTGTGGTAGTTTCGATTTTGCTCTAAAGAAATAGAAGAGATCAGAGGGAAAGCATCATTTTTAGTCTCTACAATCCCCTCATGAAATCACACAGATATACAGAGGTTTTTCTATGCAAGGTCTTCAGGATAGGTTTTCTGATTCAGTTTTATGTAAAGTTAAATTTGGTGAGTTAAACTTAAATACATTTCAGTCCCACCAAGAAGCAAAGATTAAAAACAATCAGCTATTGCAAAATATATGTGGCTACATGTAGGGAAAAGAACCAATGAGTGAAAAAGACTTACCATGTGAGGAGTTGTTGGTAAGCTGGTTTCTTTAGCCAAAAAAAGAACTTATGAGCATTTCCTAAGGCTGGAGTTAGGTTTATTTAAGCAAACCATCACACACTGGAGCTAAAATGACCAAAATAAACTGTAAAAGCTCTTCAAATGATATGCACTTTTATCTTGAAGGAAATACCAAAAATCAAGGCTTATACGCATGCTGGTCTTATGAATGAGAAAAGTGATGGAAAGACTCAAGAGTGAATCAAGATAATGCGATATCAGAATAAGGTTGCTATTACATTAGTCAAGAATTTATGAACCTAAAAAAATATAAAAACAATAATTTTATAGTTTTTCTTTTTACTGAGAGAGAGATAGTGGCATGACTTTTTGACACATCATTTACTTATTCCCCTAGATCAAAACAATTTAAAAAATGGAAAAGTAATAATATCAAAAATGTGCCCACCTTGTAATATAAGCATTACAACATCTCAGCCTGGTTTTCTCATAATAGTTAAGGAACATTACAACAGACCACAAGGGATGATCCTGACACCGCAGGGAACCAGGCTGGTGTGTGACACTAGTGGCTAAGGCTGCACGATATTGGAAAAAACTAACATTGCCATTTTTTTCAACCCTGCGATATATATTGCGATATTAAAAAATACAGGAATTTTCACCAGATGACCTGAATAGCACTTAATGTTATGCTGCACTGCTGAAATCTTGAGGACAGTTAACCTGCTCTGATCTTACCTCTTTTAGTGAATGTTAGTAGAATGACTTCTGTCTCAGAGATATTTTCAGCTTTTATTGTGCTGGGACATTATTGTGGCAAAAGATGAACACAGAACACGTGTTTTGGTCGCTAAACATGCTAAACATGTGCAGGGGCGTGGTGTCCTCCGCTCTGATTCTGATTGACAGCTGGCAGGGTAGTCTGATTGGCAACTGAGAACTGAGTCTGATTGGCAACTGAGTAAAGAACGAAGGTGATTGGTGGATCGCTGCACAGCACATGCAAAATCACATGCAGTGTATCTCAGTCAGCTACCCTTGAAATTAACTGAGTTCATTCACCTCCGACATCGCAGGCTCTGCGATGTGACTATTGCACACACGTACATCCCGATGACGATGTTCAAACGATATATCGTGCAGGCCTACTAGTGGCAGATGTAAACATACAGATGAGTCTTGATTAAGTCAAGGCCTGTTAAAGCTATACACATACACTGATAACCAAGTGTGTTTTGAACTGTAGAGGAGAAATACGTATGAAACTGCTGCAGTAACTCTCACTCAATCTCTTTTTCAACATGTTTTCTCTACACTATTTTCAATTCAATGCAGGTTTTAAATGATGAGCAAATCAGTAAACGTCTGTTTTGTAAACATTTACAATGTCCCCAGTCTGATGGAATTGAGTTTTACTTTTACTTTTCAATTTCTCTTTTGATCAAAGTTCCTTATAAACTGGTATATGACAGAAATATTGCATCATGCTAAACAGCATTGCTGTATCCGTCTGTGGCCTAAGGCCTGCTGCCGATGGCTAAATCACAAAGTGCACTACAGATATTCAGTACAACACTCCAGTCATGTGACACTGTTTAGATGTACCACTATCGGTGCTTATTATGATTATTCATTTCCTTTAACTATTACATTGAAGCAGCATTACTACATTACAACAAATGACCTACAAGTGTTCTACATCAGCCATCTTCCTCCCGTCACTGCAGGGGGAACTGGTCATGTGATCGAATCACATGAGAGATCATCCCGTCTGTCACTGCTCCGAGCTTTCACATGCTCAAGCTAAACACCATTTCAAAATACACATATCATTACTGTGCCGCACAGGAAAGTCATCGCAGGAGACATGCTCTTGTGACGATAAAGCTTAATAAATATGATTAAATTTCCACCAAAGACATTCAAAAGAGATATTAGTGCGCTGTGTCAGTCATTCATGTGCCTAACGTCCGAGTCAGCTGACTGCGCTGTGTCAAATACCACAACATTCACACTGTTTATAAACGACAATTAAGTACTTTTGTATGCATGTATATTTCAGTACAACTATATTTTTAGTGTGCTGATAAATGGAGGCCAAAAGGTTATTACCGAGTTTAAGCTGGATGAACGTCTGGCAGCCACAGCCAGGTTTGCTAGCCCACTGTTGGACGAAAATGCATCCGTCTATGTTTTTTATAGAGGACATACGGGCAAAACGAGGTAAAAATATGTTAATATATATCCAAATTGAACCTTAGATTTATCCTCTGCTTTGACTACCGTGTAAAACCAATGAGTTTATTCACGATCGTGACTACGACTTTATTAACTTGCTTGCTTCGTGTACTAGTATAGTACGTTTGCGTTACATCGGAATATCCACCGTTACCCCCCAAAAAAACAGAATAATTTCCTGGTATTTTACACAAACTCATGGTCCACACTATTAATGTTAAGAAATCTGTTATACACGGTTAAATAAATAACCTCAAAACGTTTCTTTTGTGCGTTTCTGCAAGCACCCCGTTAGCCTCCAGCTGCAGCTATCTGTACCCGCTAATGCTACTCACTCAGTCGGGGTTGAGAGATGTAATTTCTGGTCACAGCCTGGGTGTGTGTCCTCGCAGCTCCAGCCAAGCCATTGACGTCCATCGCCCTGTTTGCCACAAGTGCTGCCATCGTCGAATGAAGAAAAGGGAACCTGAGAAAGCTAACGTTGATGGATGTGCTTTGCTAACTGGTGCAGAGTAAGAGAGATGACAGCAGAGAGCTGGTCATATGACACAAAGCTACCCGGATGTTGGACAGAGCGAGGAAGGAGCCCAATTCGAAGCGCGCGTGCCGTGTGCACGCGCACAAACTAAGGTTAAGAAATTGGTACATTTCTTGGGAAAAGGCTGAAAAACAAAGCGTTGGAAATTAAAGTGTTTTCTACTTAATATAAACTTTAAGAACGTGCACATTAGAGTGTTTATTTTATTTTATAATTTTCTACGACGTTATAAACGTCACACAAATTTAGCAATAGATGTTTACCCTTTTTGTCCTTAATCCCACTTTGGTAACACTCACTCACTCAGTCCAATGACTGTTAATGCATGTTAATGTTTTGACTAATGACATTAAGATTTAATACCAAAATACCGTTAATGAAAATTACATCTATAAAAAAATCCAATGGCACTGTTTTTCTATGATCATGGACAGCCAACTTCCTTTCCATACCACTGTGTGAAATTCTGAGGGCATGGCAGTGCAGGGCCTGAATTTTCACATAAGAATCACATAAGAGCACCAGGAAACTAACAGTTCCCTGTAGAGTTATTCTATTGCCAGTCACCCCCGCCACTGCTAGCATTTGACAAAGGTTTAAAAAGCAAACAGATAGGAATAGGAGAGGATTTTGCGAACACTCTCCACATCCTTTATTCTTTATCATATCTTCCAATAATCTGTCTTGTACTCAGTCATTCACAGCACTTTGTGTGTCACATGGAGCCATTTAAGAAAATTATTTGAATCTGTGCAGTATTTTCCTGTGTTATGGGTGCCAGACTTGTGGGAATTTCATATTTAATATAAGCTTTTAAAGTGTGGTAGACTTCTCCTAACAGAAAGCTAAGTGAGGCTTGTGGGATCCTCCAGATGTCTGCCCAACTGATGCGCCTATTCACAATTGCATCCCATTGCGTCCACCAGAGCTGTGGTCGTACTCCCCTTTTTGTTACTCTGCAAGGTGGTTCAGCATGAAAAATTCTTTGATTCGGGATTTTCCACATAGAAAGCAAGGAGACCAACAGCTGAGCTTTTGGCACTTATTTGCTGATACCAAGCAACAGTGTTCCTAATCCACTGCCACTTGAAATCCAAGATGGCAGGTAGACCCTTAAACCTTTCTTAAATGCTGTGTTATTGACTATCATACATGATGCAAAAAAAAAAAAAAAAACACCAGAATGAATATGAGCACCTCCAGGGTCATGTCTGAAATTAAAAATTTGCTGGATTTTTGAATGTAATTCTTAACAAGAAAGTTGCTGGTCTAAATTCTCAATCCCAGAGCAGACACAAGCCCCTTATGTGTTTAAGCTTCTGTGTAAAGACTCTAGACTGTAAATTAGAAAGGTTTTCACTGACAATGATGCTAACAGATTTAGAGCTCCCCCTGCTTACTTGCTACAGTATACGTCATACACCTCAACTACTTCATATTAACAGGTTAAACAAAGGTTGAACTATGAATTCCGTATAATAATTATAACCTTTTCCCTCATACATGGCTTTTGTCATTAATTCTTATTCTGATTTATTTCGTCCTAGGCGTTTAAAGTAGGGATGTTCCCAGCGGTTAATTTCACTGACGTTTAAATGACCATTTTGAAACCGAATATTGGAATACCCGAAAATTAATTAACTCCCAGAAAATAGCCCAAATTGAGCACATGTCAATCTATATGGCCAGATATCATCTGAAATAAATATTAAGAGTACATGAAAGCCATGCATATAATGTTAAAATATGTTACAGAATCTTATTTTAGCCCTGGAGAATGACATAAAGTACATGAAAGATCAAAGCAATTAAGCTCTGCTCCGCTGCACTCAAGCCAAGCAGCCTGTTGCGCCATCAGCCTGCCTCACACCATAAGCACGCTTTATCTACATCAAAATACTCCCAAACTTTGCTCTTTTTCTCACCGACATCGCTCTGGCTGACTGCATGTGTTGATTCACTCTGAGGAAGTTAACCCACGATGCCATGCATGCTGCAGGCCAGCACTGCAAGCCTAGAGCAGCGAGCCAGGCAGAAAGAGTCGCACGCAAATGATCCACACATTTCAGCTTGTTTAATGCCCCTTTTTTTCTTTTTTCCCCCTTTTCTTTATTTTTCTATAGAATAAACAAATATTATTTACTAAACGGATAGTAAGGACAGCCCCGTTTACACGACTATCCGAATAACCGCACACATAATTTTAGGCCATAATTTAAATATGAAAAAGAGGGGATGTGACATCATGATGACAGCTCTTTTAATGAGTGTGGGGGTTTTTTTTGCCTGTTGTACCAGATTATCAGGGGAGAGGAAGAAAGGTGTAAGAAACTTTGACAAAGACCCAATGAGTGATTTCACTTCCCCACCTGAGGGATCTCCTTTGTTTTACTGTTGAATGCATGTTTTGGTTAGCTGAAAGGGTGTGGTGTCAGTTACTAACAGCCACCTCTGCACATGCTTATGCTGCACTGCCACAGCATGCTGTTGCCCGTGAAGCCAGTCCTTCGGCTTTAAAGCTCACACTGGGTGGAAGAGGAGTAATGGAGGAGTCCAGACTTACAACCTTTATTTACAGCCACTGATCCTGATACTCTCCCAGATTACACTGGTTGAAAGCCAAGGACAGGACTAGCTCAGCACCTAGTCATTCATTCATTCATTCATTCATTCAAGATATAACCCTGGACATTGACTGGAAATTGTATGTCGGTGCAGCCTAAAAATTTCATTTAGCTTGAAGACATCCAGCCACAAAATCAAAAAGAAGTGCTTATTTCGTAAACCTTTACAGTACAGCAAAACACAGCATTTAACTGTGAGTGAACTAGCTGTGTTGGTCACTCTTAATTTTGCTAGGCTTATTTGTAGAAATCTCTTAAAGAAACTATACATTTTTCTTGCAGTGACTGGGTTGAAGAGGGAAAAATTGAAGCAGAAATTATTTAAATAAATTATTAAGAACAATAAACTGATTTACCAAGGGAACTTTCGGTAAACCTGGAATTCTAAGAGAATGAAACGCTGCAAAATTCCAAATAAAAGTTCAAAAACATCTGTGACCTTCACAAAGACAATGGGCTGAAGTTAATATCCATTATTGTCTTGTACACAGCTTTTTTCAGAGAACCGGGGATGTAAGTATACTGTATTTCTTGACCATGGTTCTCTCCTAACAGATATTTAATTCCAAAAGTACATGATGCTGAATTTGTTGCGACATCTTGAAAACAGTGAAAATGTACATCTGCAGGAAGTACTGACAGCACATTAAACTTAAGAGAATCCAGGAAGCTTCTCTTTCTAGAATAACGAAAAAACATGAAAACATTGTACTTGAGAGAAAGACTTAGTCTGCAGTGGGTCTAAACCACTGCACAGTCAACCAATTAGACTATACAGTATTGATATTTTCATGGAAATTTAAAGGAGACTAAAAATGCCCAGTGACTTTTTGCTCAGAGAAGTGTCTGTTTTGTCCGATAAAAATGATGCTGTGTGTCCCTCACACACACACACACACACACACACACACACACACACACACACACACACACACACACACACACACACACACACACACACACATGTTCACCAACATGCTGTCCTGGTGAGGGAACGGTTGATTGGCAGGTAGAATGACATGATTGCACACATTTTCCCCTTAAAAACTCTTGGTTTCCTGTTTTCTCAGTTTTGAAGTCCTGATCCATTCTCATTTGACGCAGCGTGTACTGCACAATAGCTCGTAAGCGACTGTTTGAAGATGATTTTGAACCGTGTCCCCTCACAACCAACACACTGGCAGCCACACATTACATACAGGCACGTACAGCTCTCTGATGGTGGGAAAGTACTACAGATTGAAGTGGTAAGCGCTGCCATGATGAGGCTGACGGCAGTCCCTGGAGAGCTCATCCAAACGTTTCATGCCGCATGCAAAAAATAGCAAATTAATGCAAGTGAAGGGCTTCTGCCTACAGGAGCAGTGCCCTCATTTTAGAAACAGCAGCTTTTCTCCCTCAGTCTTTAATGGAGGGTTCAGAGGGACATGATTTCCCTGAAACTCCTCAAAATCAGTCGTCTGTTTAAATAGGTATCTTAATATTCATGTAACTGTTGTTGTGAAAACCAGTAAGCATTCTGCAGGATCTAAATGATGAAAATAATTTGGAAAAGTGTGAAATTAGAACTGGATGTTGAAGACCTGATATCAACCTGTTTTTTTTTTTTTTTTTTACTATCTAGAATACAATCATGACATCAAATATGTTAGAAAAAATATTTCTGTCAAATGATAATTGGGTGTTTCAGAGCTAGAAGGGGGCTGACATGTATCATTTTATGACTTCAATTGTAATTCTATTTTTTCTGTTTTTTTTCTGTGGTCATTGAGGATGATATCCAGGATATCTGGAGAAATCTCTGTACAAAAAGGACAAAGATATATATATATATATATATATATATATATATAGATAGATTTTTTGTCTTCCAGTGACATTAGAGTTACAGTAGATTTTTTGCCATCAATAGCTAAGGAACATTACTCTGATATTGTTGAGCCATTTGCTCTTGCAGTCTCTCATGTAATGATAAACATCTTCACAAGATGTAACTTGGTTTCTTTGCACTTTTCACAACTTCCAAAAGTTATCTCTTAAGATTGGGACATACATGTTTAGTCTGAAATTCAAAATGAGTGAATATTTGCACAAAAACAATCAAGTTTATCAGTTTAAACATTAAATATTTTGCCTTTGCATTCAGTTGAATTTAGGCAGAAAAGGATTTACATATCTTTGTTTTCTGTTTTCCTTCATGTTTTACTCAAACGTCCCAACTTCGCTTGGGTGTGTGTGTTTAAATATTTTGATTATTACTGTATACTTCTATGTATGAACATGTATATAACTAAGACAGTTTGAGATCTGGTGACTTGAGCATGTCCTCCAGTTGCATTTTAAATCAGATTTCAAAGCATGAGCTATGATTGTGCTGCACAGACTTGTTAAAAGGAATCTGATTGCACCCTGGAGCTGTCTTTGTGACTCCCTGAGG